CAATCATGAGCTGAGAGCTCGTCTGGATCTAAGTTGAATCAAGAGGCTGGCATCTTAACTCACATCTCGTCACCTTGCAAAGCAGGTTCGCCGTTGTTAAACTTTCTGGAAGGGACGCAAGTCATGAGAAAGAGTTTTTCCCTCTGTTGAAATCAACTGAAAAGTGTCTTGATCAGCATTCGAGTTGCCGAAATTCAACCAGCACTGGAAGAGCAGAGAGTTTGAGAGTTTCTTGCAGAAGTGCGGAATGACGCATCAGAGTGAGTGTCACGCTGTGCCATGGGTCTTGAAACCCAGAGTGGGCCAAAAGTCGGAAAGTGTTCCGTTTTCAGAGTTCAAACCAAATTTTGTCGAGGAGATTGCGCAATCGATCTGTGTGCAAATGTGTTGATGAACATGCACCATTCAACAATGTTGATTACCATGCAACAGAAAGGTGCAGTTTGAAATTTGCCAGATTTCTTGTTTGGTCAAGTGACCAATCCATGTCAAGGTGATCCTTGCGGCCGTCGGCGAGGCCTGTTTGGTCCAGATCAGGAGCTGATCTTCGCAGATCTAGAGATGAGAGCGAAAAATGTGAATGCAGAATGGTCTTTTCTCGGTCTGAGTGACCACCTTGCTCAAGAGGTTCAAAGAAACGTCTGAACAGTGAGACTGTTTTCATCAGAGGTCACAGGAGAGAGAACAAGTCAAGATGATCGGTTCTTTTCTTCTTTCTTTTGCTTTCCTTTCGGAGAATCGTCGCCGAACTGTTCCGCAGCCGTTTGTGTGTGGGCGCGCGCGATGGCCATGTTTTCGTTGCTTGGCAGCTGTAATGCTGCGCTGGCGCTTTATGGGCTGATGGCGCTGCTGCATGGAGCGTGGAAGCAGGCGATGAGTTTTGGTGAGAAGAAACCAAAACCAAAGATGAAGGAACCTTGCAAGTGGGCTGTTGGGGGTGGAAGCGTCTTCCTTAGTGGCAGCTGGTTCGGAAGCGACTGAGTCGATGGCAGCTAGTTCAGTGGCAACTGGTCAGGCGACTGCAGAGGGTGCGTGGTTGGCAGCTGGGAGTGTAGAGCAACTGGAAGTGTACGTGACTCCAACAACTGGAACGAGGTTCCATACCCAGCGGAACTGCCAGTACCTTCGTCGAAAGGGCAAAGTGACTTCGTACCAACTTTGCTTGTGCTGTAAGGCTCAAAGAGGCCTGGATGGCATGTAGACTTCGAAAGGGGGGTGTGGAAAGTAGCTTGCTTGAATAGCGAAGCCTCCATACCATGTTTTGAATGTGCGTGAACTTTGTGTATTCAGTTCGAACCTGTTCGAACTTCCCTTGAGGCCTGAGAGGCCGATGTGTTTGTAGACAAGCTGAATGGAATAGCGTTTTCGTGTTTTTGAACAGTCATGGAATTCTTTTGAATGTTTACACAACAGTAACAGTTTAAACCTTTGGGAGACATATCCCTTGGTTATGTACATGTTTGTTACGACTGTAACATGTTTGGCTCAAGTGTGCGGCAGAACAGGCGCGTTGCGAGTGTCTTTGCTCTTGTTTCTTTCTTTTCGGTTCGGTCGTCGTGCATACACTTGACTTACAAGACAGTTTTTCGCGCTGAGAGCTTGCGAGGAAGGTTTTCTTTTTCGTGAGTTTGTGTGTCAAACTTTCACGTTACTTGATTTTGCTTGAGACTTTCAACTGTTTTTGCAAAGATGAAACAGTGTGGATCACATCCAAAAACTGTTGTTTGCCCAGGTTGGATTAAGGGAGCTACCTCGACGTCACCGGAGCCTGTGATGGGCAACTTCCCAAGCCAGATGATTGCTTTTCAGAAAGATGGGGAGGATGGGATGTCCTTGTTGAAGCTCGCCTCCGAGTACGTCTCCTATCTCACACCCTTCTTGAAGCCCGTCCCATCCCTCCTCAAGATTCTCTGCAGTCTGAGATCGGCAATACTTTTGACGCCGTTGGCGGCTTTCTTGAGCGACTCGAGACAATGTTCAGGTTCCCAGAGTCAAAGTATGACATCAACGGGTTGTTCCCGAAAGAAGTCCAGCCCATTGCCCGCGCAATTTTAACTTGGCAGAATGTGGGTCAAGAGCTCAAGGAGTTGGGTGAGGCAGAGCAGAGCTGGACCTTCTTGACAGAAACTCGGCCTTTTCGAAAGTCTGTCGACCGCTGTGAATGACAAGTTGATGTCAGCCACGGTGTCTCAGGATGCAAAGGACCAATGCAATGCGTATGTGAATTCTTTCATCGACATGCCAATTGGCAGTCACAGAGCTTGGGCCCGGCTTGGCTGAGCAGCTCAAAAGATTCCTTGAGAAGTAGCAGAAGGTTGGGGAATGTGCAGAGAGGTTGCCAGTGAGTTACGTTTTTGATCCTGAGAATGAGGAGGATTGCAAGCAGACCTTGAAAAGGTAGAAACCACACTTCGCAAGTTGACAGAGTTGTGCAATGACATCAAACTTTTCATGGCCCACACTTCGTGCAATTCCGCCTTTCAGGAGGTGATCCAATCCGTCCGCAAGTTTCACTCTGAAACTCTTGCCATGATGTCTTCTACAAGAAAACTTGCCACCGTCCCCATGGTGTCTGATGTGATGCTGAAGGAGGTCATTGACAAGGACAGTCTTCAGAAGGTGTCGGGACTATGCCGTGATGGCATAGGGACTTCTGCCGGTGAAAATGCGGAAGAAGATCATTGCTGATCTGGATGGCAAAGCCAAATCCCAGCCTCAGTCCAGAAATAGAACGCCACTCCACCTGAGGACACTTCCAGAACGGCTTCCAAAAGGGCAAAGAAGATCAAGGACCCAAGCAGCCTAAGGAAGCGCCCAAGGGAAAAGAACAAAAGAAGAGAAAGGCAGACAAGAAGTGATGGAGTCATGGGCATGCGGCGTGGGTGAAGTAGCAATAGGCAGTGGAACCCATAATTTCAGCTCCAAATTTTGGCAGTGGCCTGTCGTGGCACGTTCACATGCATTTGTGTAGCCAGGTTCAACCTCCGTTATTTGAAATGTTCACATGCATTTTTGAGCAAACGTGTTATTTGACTTGTTCACATGGATTTCAACATGTACCCTCTCTGTGAACAATTTCCATCCAAATCATTTTTTCCAGACAAAAAATTTCAAGTAGTCTCCACCTCCAGCTATTATTTTCGTCATTGTAAGATCATTCAGTGCCATGGCCTCCTTAGTTTGTGCCAGCTAGGGCCTAAGGCCTATGACTCGACTCAGGCTATGAAGTGGTGAAAAAATACTGTGCACAGCAGCAGTGACTAGGATCCTGTCGCCCCCTCTCCTTGTCCATATTGCTTTCCTCTTGGCAGTCTCTTTAAGCGGCCACTGTGCTAAAATAAGATTACACCCAGTGGCGTTCTGTGATGTCCACCTTTACAGGATATGAAGTGGACAAACATTTATTACCTAAGGTGTTACGAGGAGTTGGGCCTCCCACAGGACTTGTTACATGAGGTAGTGTTGGAGACGTATACAGCCAACAGACAGAGGGAGGCCAGAAACCAATCTAATCATTATTCGTCCGAATCTGATAGTGACGTGGTGATGGAGGAGGAACAACAACCACAGGGGTCTACAGTCTACAGGCAATTGAGTTTTGAGTGGACAAAACAATTTCCAGAATTTCGAATCAATGCACGTGGACTGTTGTGACAGCTGAACCAACAGTGCCACGTACAAAGAAATACAGTATGCATGTTTGGAGCTTGGTTCCAAATGCAATACAACACACGTGCAACAGCTGCACCACGTGATGTTGAGCACCACGAACGCATTGTTGTAACGTCTGAACCAACGATTGCTATGTTGAATTTACAAAACTTTGGTGGAAACTGTGCAAAGCACCGGAACGGGCTATACTTTATGTATAGAGCTTTGGTTGCATGGACTTTTACCTTACGACCGCTCAGACGAAGCGGAATCCAGTCAATTCAAAGAAGCAAACAATTGAATGTACAACAAAATGGTGACTAGAACGCCACATTTTGAGGCGGCGTGTCAAAAGTTTTCGTGTATGCGCATACCATAGTGTTTGCAGTGCTGTACTTGAGATTGTATAGTGTAGTATCTGAATCTGTTTTTAAATTACTTTGCCGTGTAGCGCTGGGTTCAAAAGAGTCGTGCTACCAAACGGTTTCACCTGAGGACTTCGGTCTTCAGCTCTTTTCTTTTAGGCCAACGTTGGGGCTGACCCAAATACACGCTTGAACGTTTCACCCGAAGGTCCGATCCTTCAGCCGCTTCTGGTGTGTCTTAGCGACGCCGGGCGTGATCCAAATGCGCACGGCAAACGAACAAAAACCCGAATTGCCAATGAGCTGCCCACAGAAGCTGGCTCTGTACATGTTGTCACCAGCACATGAGCCGTGACAGATTGTGCAGAGTGGAGAAAATCGCGCCTTTTTTCTAGCTGCGTTGCTGACTATGCCCATGTTATGCACAGGTTGGCTTGGGCATTTTCAAAACCAAATTCTTTGTGTACGCATTTTATAAGCAAAGTTGTTCACGGAATGCACTCTCCCAGCGGATTGGTGCAATATCTTGACTTCGGGCCCTCAAGCAACTGTTTATTGTAGATGTGACCTCAGCCTCCTGTTGCGTCACCTCTTTTCGACCCGTGCCCAGAGTGGCTCGAATATTGCGGGATGGCACCATGCAAAATGTTGAATTCCGACGGTGAAACGCACTGTAATCCCTATTGATTTCAATGCAACATGGCGTAACGTTGGAATCTCGACACATTGCAAGTGGAGTCAGTGAAAGATTTCAAAGTGCACCAATTGAAGCAGCAACAACGCAGGACAATCACCATCGCGAGGGTTTGCTTTCATGTTTCGTCATTACTTCAAGCAGGCAACATCGCCATCTGTGATTTGGAGAAGATGCCACAAAAAATTCGGACCCTGAATGAATGGTTCCTTTTGGGGGATTATGCCAATGGCTTGCATGTTGGACATTTTTCCATCGATTCAACCCATATGTTTCCAAGATGCCTGGTGCACCAGATCCGTTCAGAGCATGATCTTTCATGGTGACTGCCGGCATATGCTTGAGCGGCCAGCTTCGTGGGGTGGGGGGCCCCATATTGCTACTGGGTAGAAAATTGCCATGTTGTGGCTGCGTTCGTATTTGAAAAACAAATCATTTATTGCCAACTATCCCAAGGCCCAGATAGGAAAAGGAGAAGCCGCAGTTGTTGCAGTTGTGACGTGCCACACATTGTCATCTACTATCTATGTACTATACTATATGTTGAGCTCATCGAACAACAATTATTTTCTGAAGACCAACACCTTTGAATCATCTATAGCACAAGTAATTAGTCGGTCACCTAAGCTCGAGTAACTCGAACTCTTGAGGTATGTACTGCTTGGGAGGCCAACAGCCTTCAATTGGCGTATCTGGCTCGCTTTTTGGGGCACACCTTGGGCGGATGAAGGCCTATATATTTTTTCATTGGTTCAGATTGGACCAGATCATGGCAGAGTGCAGCGATTTCAGTGCTGGTCGCATTGATCGTTTACGTGTGGGTTCGTTTAGATAATTTTGTTACATCATCTTGCTACCATATTAGCTACCAACTATTTTTCCATGATTGTAACCCAGTGCGCTGCAGATCGTTGCAGGTTGTGATTCTGTTTCTTTTTTTTTCCGGAAAAGTCCATGTTCTCACCAGCAGGGCTGCTCCAGTTGGACAGTGCACATTCAGTAACTGAGTAACGAAACGCCCTCAATGGAAAGCTGGAATTGGTGACAAACAGCCAGAGACCACTGCGGCCTTCTTTGGCCCTGGTGTTGGTGTGGAAGTGCTTGAAAGGGTCCCAAGCAGGATGGGGTTGTTTGTAGGAGTCAGCTGGAGGGCAGAACCATGGAGGCATGGACACTTCGAGATTTCCTCGCTAACTGCAGAGTTCTCTCTAACTCTCCAATGTTTTTACATCAACACTGATGTGCATCCAACCGATTAGGCTATCCAGGAACACTTCCCAAAACCAACAACCTTCCACGATCATTACTATGTTTTGACCAGATCCCTCCCAACCAGTAGAGCTGAGCGTTCTGAATGAAGCCCCCCTTGTGTGGGAGAGCTGCATCCGCGTGTTTTGCGACCTCAGACGACTTGAGCAGCGGAAGAAGAAGAAGAAGAAGAAGAAGAAGAAGAAGAAGAAGGAAAAGGGATGACCCGATGACTCAAAGCTATGTAGCTTGCTCCTAATGGTCTGATCTTCAGATACACATGAAAACCATAAACTGGGAAGATATCCAGCTCCCAAGCATCCGGCTCCGATCCCAAACATCCAGCTCGATCAGCTTCTCCAGGTTCTTCGTGCCTTCGACCGAGTGGAGCTCTTTGCTGTGGTACCAGAGGGCGAGGTGGGTTGGTGGGTGGGTTTCTTTTCAAGCCGGTGGACTGGTCATTTGGTGCGAAGGTGTGCAAAACATCTGGACTCGCAAGTGTTGAGGAATGGGGCGATGGTTGGACATTCTGAGTATACAGTGTATAACTGTATATGACTATATTTCTTTATCTCTGCACTGCGCGCACACACACAGTCTAAAAAGTGCTGCTCCGCAAGTGACCTCGCATGGAGAATCAGCAACATCTCACCAAAGGCACAGCATGGCTTTTGCAACTTCTGTTACCTAGCTGATCTGCGAGTCTTCAGGACTGCCCCAAGGCAGCTGGCAGGTGCCTCAGCCACGTGCGAACGAGACCGACGAGACCGTGGGAGTGGGATGACGCGGACTGCCTCTGGTCAGCGCATGGGGGGGTGGTCTGGGACCTCACTTTGAAGCTTAGGATGATTGTTTAGATTTAGTTCGCGATGATAGGCTCGCGATGATAGGCTACCATGCGTGCCCGGCCGCCAGCTGGTATTTCACGCGGAGCTCGCCGTTGAAAGATGGAGCAACTTATGATCAGGGTGTGGATTCACCGGCTGCGCAGCCTGGGAAACACACAGCTGACCAAGCTTGGTGCGGTGCAGTTTATCATTCAAAAAACCCGTTGGTTTAAACACATACATGTGCAGCACCAACATTTTGTTGACTCTGTTGTCCTGTCGCCTCACAGTCGAGAGGTTTTGCACTTGAAGGGTTTCTTCATCATCACTCAGTCACTGTAGACCACATCCACATCCACATCATAATCATGCTCTCACTGTTCTCAAGATGAAAGCGAGAGCAGGGTTTTTGATGCACGACAGTCGCGCGTCGTCCCGCTCCTGAGGCCTTTTGCCCAACGGCACCCAGATCCGCTGTGTGCCCGACCGCCCCTTCACTGCGCTGGAAGAGGAGTGGCTGGCAGGAGGTCCTGAGCCGGGCAGCCTATCGGAGGCAGATCGCCATTGCGTCCTTTCGGAAGCGGAACGTGCCTCATTCGAAGGTCTCGCACGCGTGAGGAACGGCCCCTTTTTTCGGGTGACCCTGGGTCGCCTCATTCCAAGCATGACTGGAAGTCTCAGAAACCACGGTGTGGGAGGAGGCTCTTTGTCGCCTCTTTTGTCCGTTTGTGTGGATTCTGGTGGTGTTTTTGTATTGACTTGCACGATCTTCTTCATTCTACTCTTTTCTCTCCACTTAGAGCTTTTAGCTGGCAAAGGTTCCGACCTCCTACCTGAGGCTCTGTTGGGCCCGCACCTTAGCTGTGAGCTGTCATGATGGTAGATGATCTGTCTGCAGGCAGCTGGTGAGTGGCCGGGTGTTTCTGCTTCTTGTTGACTTCTGCTGAAAGACATTTCTGGGCTCACCCTGCTTGGTCAGCGAAACGCTAGCGCGGGATGCAGGCGCATGCACTTCTTGCATCTAAAACTACAAGAGAGTGGTGTGTGATCATCATCATAGTTGATAGGCTGTTTCTGTGCTCGTGCCTGGTGAAAGCTATGGTCCACCCCCCAGGTACCCCAAGCTGGATCTGCAAAGAAAGAGAATGGCTACAAGAACACGAAGAATGGTCTCGGTTTTTCGACATCCCGATGTTGGACAGATCGGGTGTTGTTTTGGGTGGCAAAGGAGGGTCACAGTCCAAGGACCGGGCGAAGTTCTTGCTGCAGCTGAGGCCACGGTTCGGGATGGATGGCCAGTTGTGTTCGGGATGGCCAGCTGGAATCCCAAAGGTTTCAAGGAGCGGGAGTGGTGGTAGATGAATGCCATGGACCTGGAGGTAGATGAAGTTCACGGTTCTACAACAAGGCCTTGCCAAGTCTGTTTTCTAGATGGCCGGCAACAGAATCACCCTTTGGCACCGGGATAGCAAGTGGGAGATTCCATGTCGGGGCTCAATCATTGCGGGTTTCGGGTGGGGAAGGAATTCTTGGTTCGTCCCTCACCTTGTCTCGGAAGTGGACCGAGGCTTGGGGATTTGACTTGAAAGAAGTTATCTTTTTCAACTTTGTGAGGAGATGTCTGAAGTCTTTTCAGAATAGAGGCTGGAAACGGTGGATGACAGCAGCTGGTCTCGCAGCATTTTTTCTCGACCCACTGGGACCTTCCTTCCTTCCTGTCTTCCCTTGAGGCTGGTACACCGTTGTGGGCAGCTTCTACAAGAGAGGATCAAGGCGTCTGGCGATTAGGATGGTTCGGAACGAGCGGAAAGGAAGGAGAAAGGCCATCTGCAAGTTGACCTGGCCTCGTTTTCAAGCGTAGATCCTTTTTGCAGGAAGCCATGGGGAGTAGCGGCTACACTGAAGTCTTCTGATTTTCGACTTGATTTGCTAGGCTCAGATGAAACAAGCACAGTTCCACGCAGAAAAGCAGATCCGTTCTTTGGCGTTAAAAGAAACCCGTTGCAGAAAGAACATTTGGTTTTAGATGTTTTATCTTTCTTAGCCAATTGAATTTGTGGGGATCCAGGAAATGTGGAGATGAACTTCTGTACTCTCGGACAAACTCGGCCTGCGGTCTAATAGTAATACGGAAAAACTAGGACATAACTCGTCACTTGAACTCGGCTCGAGGTGGCTCAACTCACTAGGTTGATCTCCTTAGGATTTCATTCCCCAGTGCTCTTTTGTCCTTTTTGTCCTCCATCGGTTCCCCAAAGGCCGGGGCACGGCGTGGGGCCTCAGGGATTTGGGGAGGGACACGGCGCGGGACTCGGACTGCCAAGGCGCTGTGGGACTGCTCCTCCCCCCTCTGTCAACAAATAGTGGAACCACTTTCGTCAACCCACCCCGCCCGCCCGCCCGCCCGCCCACCCACCCATCCCGCCCCCAACCGGGTTCCAGTCAGATTGGACCGCTCCGAGGTATGATTGGCTGCTCCGCCTGAGGGCCGATGCCTACTGGCACCGCTTCCCTGGGTTTGGCACCGGAGGCCGACGTGCCGATGGTCGGGAGGGTCGCGTCCGCGTCCAGACGGACGCGAGCCGTATGAGAAGTCTCACAGTCGGGATCCATATGAGGATGGGAATCGGACTGCACAGGTGTTGTGGCGTCGTGTCGTGGAAGCGTTTGTGGGTGACTGGGGCGAGGACGGACAGATCGGTCTTTTGGGGGGCTGACAGGTTGTCCTCATTTCTTCCAACCAAATTTCAGTTGACTGTTGAACTGTTCACCTCCTCGAGAAGACACACCAGGCGCAGATCAATTCTTTGAAGTGTTGAGGCATGTCCTTTTTTTTCAAACGTGTCCTTTTTGTTGCTATTTGAGCTATCAAGTCTATATCAAGTCTATTTTAGCACCCATTGTTTCAGCTTGAGCTGTTGTGCTGTCGACTAGAACCTTCACACACTTTTTGCAGACCGGCAATGACAATTTGGTTTCCTTGTTCTGAAGCGTCCCCAACAGATCCTTTTGCACCCACAGTTGGCATGCGACCACCAGGACAAAGAATTCTCTTGCCATGGGCCCCGATCCTGCAGTGGCAGGCGGTTTTGAGAGTACAACGCTCTCCATTGTGTGATGAACACGACTTTGGCACTTCTAGCAATATTGAGTGTTATATTTGAGATGCAAAGCCGTCGAAGTCACATGCTGTGCTTGTGGTGCACGCTTGGATTGTGGGCTGTTGACCAAACCCTAACCAGCTTCTCGTTCCAAGACATAGCTCTTTGATAATGCAACAACTCTGCTGGAAGAGGATGCAAGGACCAGAAATTGCGAATTCTTCCATCAATGAAGGCTTCTTTTGTGCTTGTCCAGTCTGTCGACAGACCCATGTGTGTCAGAGGCTTTTGCAGACAACTTTGCAGCTGGTACGCGGGGGATGCCAAAGGACCTGGAGTCACCTATCCTCAGATCAATGGACCTTGAAGCTGGACCCAACCATTTTTTTCATTTCTTTGGGTCCCTACCTCACGGGGTGTCGCCAGTTTCATGGGAGTTCCATCCGCTGAATGAACAATCTCACTGGCTGTTGAGGCCATCGCTGATGTTGAAATACTTCGACTTTTACAACTACGTGCTGGATGCGAGGTGAGGTCCTTGACCTTGTCCGTCGAGTTGGGTGGGAGGCGAGCTGGAGGTTCTACAGGTGAGAAAACAATCGGCAATGAGTCCAGTGGCATCCGGGGGGGGGAAGTGGGTGTACTTTTGGTGGCCAGTTAGCGAGTGCTCAAGGGTCCTTTTTCCGATTCGAAGGTTCGGAGAGCAAGTGCCCCCTAGGCATCATCCTGTGGTGCTTCAAAAACCAACCAAGCAACTCTAAGTTGCAGGAACTGGAAGAGCTATGACTTCCCCAAGGGCGACAAGGTCTGAGATCCGGGCAAGTCACATGCTTTGACTGGGATGAAGCGCCACGCGACTGGTCCGAGACAAGGGTGGTGAACTGAACCACAAGTGGTAAACACTTCAGCAGGAGGACCTTCTCTTCTTGGATTCTTAGGGCCTCAGCAAACTTGTGACTCCCGGCGCCTCAGCGAGCTCCTGCTCAGCTGATTTTCTCTGGGTGATGATCGAAAGAGTGATCTTTGCCAAGGTCTGGCGAAGACATTGGGCGCATGAGTGTCCGCAAGCCGAGTGGAAAACGGAAACCAATTGTGGGGGTCAAGATATCGAGACCAAAACTGGAAGCTCATCTGAGCTGGATGAACAACTCCCAAATATGGCCTGCCTTTCAGTCCCTCTGAGAACAAGGTCCCTCGAAAGGTGAGAGAAACACCTTGCAAGGGTAGCTCACTAGATGGGCCCTGCACCTTGCTTTTCTTTATATCTTGCGGCTTTGGGCACTCGAGTTGATGAGTCTGCAGCTACATAAGGTGTTTGAGGTGAATTCTGAGTGGAAAAATAATCTCAGCACGGCACGGAATCTTGAAGCTTGTAACAGCGGTCCAGGCAACTATCCTGAGCTGATCCTCGAGAGGCAGAAGCTGATTTTGACATGTTTTTACTTTAGGTTTGCCCAGATCAAATAGTTGGACTCTTCTCTCCTGGGTATATGACCATCGACCAGGAGAGAATTTTCACCAGTGTACGTACTAGAATTCTGAAGCATCATGGAATTTCATTCGTGGCCACTACTACTAGATGGTTTTGTTTCCCCTGTGCCCGTGATGCGTTGTCAGATACTTGGTGGACCAACACCTACCAGTGCGCTACACGCGCGACATTTGCTTTGCCGGGCTTCCCAGGATCTTTTTGGACCAGGAATCATTGGAAGGGACATCCAACCATTGAAAGAAAGTAGTGCACCATCCAACTTTTTCTGAAAGAAGCTTCCGCTTGGAAGAAGTTTGATTCATAATCACCTTCCGTCTTTTTTTGCAACCTGACACTTACAGGCAGCGTTTCTGAAAACTCAGGTTTACTTGGCACTGCGCAGAGTTCTTTTCTTCAGTTCCAACTTGACCAGCACTTCTTGGATCCTTCTTACACCCATGTGTAAGGGACCTTTGGTTTCCGGAGGTCCACCTGTGTCTGGAAAGCCTCCTCTCGTCACGAAAGCGCCTCGGCAGGTCCGGCTGCGTCGGTGCAAGGAGCAATCCTTCGAAGATCATTGCAAGGTGCGGACGCCTTTCGAATCCAACCCAGATCGAAACCCAGATCGAAACCGGATTCAGAGATCAGTTCCTGTCACCCAGGAAGAAACACCAAAAGACTTTCTCAGAAACTTCCCCCACATGTTCCAACTGGGCCCCCAGTCGTCGGGTCCCTCGGGTCACCGAAGGTTCGTCCGGGCGGTGCCGGCGGTGCCGGTGCCTGGGACGACCTGGAGCCCTGGCGGCGGTGGCATCTTCAAGGCATGGAGGCGTCTGCGGGTCGGCGGGGACTAGGGGACCGGTGAGGCGGGGAGCCTGGGACGGGACGGTGGAAGAGGGTGGTGGAGAGATGACCCTTTCTTTTTCCTTTTCATTCTTGAGTTTTTTTTCCGGTGTTCTGCGTGGGTTCGGAGGTTTTTGGGTGATTGGACATTGGGTTTGTGTGAAGTATTGGCGGAGTTGTTAAAAGCAGGTGAGAGATCTTCCAAGGATGAGACTCGTGAATACTCGTGAGACGATGAATGTTCAATTGGGGCTTCCACAGGTCCTACCCTTCACCAACTTCGACTGATGTGTCTCAAATCACAACCTTATCAGTGTTGCGCGCGGCTTGAACCTGGGCTGAACAAGATGGGTCTTCTCCACCGCTGTTCTCCATCGTTTTGGCGACACACATGACTGTTCGTTCTTCTCACGAACGTCGCATCGCTCGCCCCGACCGCGTGTCCCGAACAGCGAGGGAATTTGGCCGGTTGGGGGAGCCTTTTTAGAGGGGTCGGAGGGCCATCATGGCTCCATCCGAAGAAGATGCCCAGCTTCCGATCTTGGAGACCCCCAGGCTGCTACTGAAGGCTCAGTGCTGTGGCTATGTGTTCTGTGCAACATGCGATGTTTTCAGGTCTTGCCGGAGCAGACCTTTCCCGCCCAGTACGAGCACGACCCAGCCGCTGGGAGAGACGGGAGACGGAGACGTTCATGCGGACAGACGAAGTCACTGCGTCTTTTCATGCGTGAAAGGTGGAGGTTGGAGGCAACACATATGATATGTACCAGAAAGGGGATTCGACTAGGTTCATACATGATCAAGTTTTATGGCATGGACTCAGAAGCTTTCTTTGGTTCATGTTCATGTACTTCTTGGATTTGAGACCTGTCCCCTTTGACACTGACCATGGGTTCCGCCGAGCCTGGGAGCCCACACCCACAGCAGCAGTAGTGCCTCAGTGCCTCAGGTGCGTTCGCTGGTGTGGCTCGGGTAGACTCCAAAGACGAAGAGCCAGACTCGCACCACCTGGCGTTTGTAACCTTCATGGGTGATGGGCCATGAAAAACCTGGAACCCCTTCAGTCTGTAACAGCAGACCCTCCCAGCTTGGTCGACTAGACCTCCCAGCTAGGTCGATGGACTCAGATCAGGTCTTGGCCGCCAAGTTGGTGGACTTCTTTCACGCGGAGCAGCGGAAAGTGGGGCGACCCTTGAAGGCCGGCTGGGGGGACGGGGGCTCAACCCCCTTCTTTTATTGTTTATTTTTCCTTTCTAGAGGGTTTGGGGGGGGGGCAGGAAGAAAATCCAAACTTCACAAAGCTCACAACGTAGCTGAATGTCTGAAAATGCCTGACAGGAATGCTTGGTTTGGCTACGGCCAAAGGTTTTGTGGGAAGGACAGGTGAGGCGGACCACATGTTTTCCGGTCGATGAATCTGGTGGGTGGAGCGTGTCCTTTGAGTCCTTTGACTGAAGATGTATCCTCTGAGATGATCAATCATGAGGCATTTTCTGTGGTGAGGGAAAATTTGTGACATCTGAAACAGATGTCATTCCTGTTACTAGGATGCTGAAGCACACTTATGAAGCTCTTTGGGAAGATGCATTAGCTCCCAGATCTCTTCAGTTCTTCACTGGACACTTGCACTGAGTGCCTCCGGTATGCATTCTTTTTTAAAGGCCTGACATGGACCCGAACATCTTTAAGACTTTAAGATCGATGAATCAATTGGGTCGGAGCATCCCCACCTGATGGGGTCGGTGCTGCTCAGATCTGCAACTCCTCCATGAGACGTCGACCGCACGGAACCGGGTACCGGATCTGCTCAGATCGTGGACTTGGGGTGTGGCCGTGGCACCTTAGAGCCTGGGCCAACAAAGCAAAAGGGCTGAGATGGAGGGATGAGATGGAGGAGGGCGGTTCACAAGGATACAACACGTTCGGGGTGCAAGGGAGTTTGGAGGAGTTTGGAGGTCGGCTGGATTTGGTTAACTCTGTTAACTGTGTTTTCTAGGAGGAGAGATGGATTTTGTGGATCCCTAGGCTTGGTGCGGTCTTCTGCATAGCAACAAGTGAGTGGCAACGCCAGCCTCTTTGGCCAGGGTTGGTTTCCTCAGCGCTCCCTTCACCTGTTCGGTGGTGTCTCCCCGCGAACCATAGAAATGAGCCTAGCAGAAATCGACTGTGACTAGGAGAATCGATGGTGAGGCGTTGTTGATGTCTGACTCTCATCTCTATGTCCACCAACTACAGCATGAATATCCACCCGTGTCTTCAGCATCATTCTTGTCCTAACTGACTCGGCACCAGTGTGACACATGGGAACACAGACGTTGACCACGCTCCGCCTCACGGGGAAGTGGAGAGAGACACTCTGAGGTTCGAGGTTTTCCACTTCCATCTGAGTGAGGCCGAGGCCTCGCCCGAGGTGCAACCACAAAAAACCTGCCTGAACCGACCTGTGTAAAGGCCTGCAGGGGTCAGAAGAGCCCGACCAAAATGCACAGTGAGATAGGAGGGTCTCTCCTGCAAGAGTTGGATATTTCCGAACATTCCCTTCAGAAGAATCTTCTCCGAGTTGGTCACCCCTGGGTGTCACACTTGGAACCTCCACAAACCACACCAACCAGAAGCCATTTTTTCTTTCGCTCACGATGACCCCAGCACCCCAGATCACTTGCTGGATCAGATGGGCCCCTGCAGGGCATGCAGGGCTCAATAAACAAAAACTCGCCCTTTCCTCCAAAATCAACCGCCCTTTCCGTGGTGCCGGCCTTGTTTCTGATCCACTTTTTCCTTCATTTTGCTTCCAAACACCTCCCGTGCACTTGCTCGCAGCATGTTGCCTGGTCCTCAGGTGGCGGAGCTACGTGCCTGGCGGCTGCTGGCCGTGGGTTTGGATACCAACCCCTTGCTGACGGCCACGCTGAATGCCTATGGCCTGGTGAGAACAAACAGACTGGGGGTTCTGGGGGAGATTATTTTTCTTCATTCTTTTTTTCTGTGGTCTCTCTTGAAACTTTTTATTCTTGATTTCCTGGTGGTGGATGCGGCTTTGTCATGTTATTGTTTTTGCAGAGTTTCTTTGTATTCTGCTGCTCTTTTGTGTTTTTTTCATGTCTGATAGCTTTGCTTGCTTCACTCCCAGTTGTTATGTTTTGCATCTTGGGTTTGTGGGACTTTCATGGAGTTTCTGAGTGTACATCAGGGGTCTGATTCTACCAAGGCAGGCAACTGTAACAGGCAAAAGGAGGGATACAGGAAAAGGCACACATTTCTTATCACGAAGAAGACGGTTCACCAAGTTCCCATTTGGGGGCTGGGGGATCGGGTGAGGATCTGGATTTTCTGACGGACTTCTTCCTCCACTTAGGGCCAATTGGGTCTTCTTAAGGTATCTCAATCTATGCGGATTGCTAGATTCCAAAAAAACGAAACAGAACTGGTCTTTGCCGTTCTTTGTAGGGCATCTCTCTTCGCAAAACCTGTTCTCCCAGACTTGGACCTCCACAAACAGCAAAGCCCCAGCCTGACCCCACCCGCCCTTTAAAACAAGCCCTTCCTGGCAGGTGGCCGACGTGACGGAAGCCAACCTCAGTTTCACCCTCCGCAGCGCGCATCCACGGTGCAACTTCCGCCCGCACCTGGGGAAGTTCGCCAAAGGCGGCGAGTACGAGGACGCCGGACAGTCGGCGGGCGTGCAGTTCGATGGCCGACCCAACAAGCAGGACATGAGCAATCCCACAGGCGGGTTTTGGGAAGGGGGAGAAGGAGGAAGCAGTTTGGAGATTCTAGCAAACGTTGAACATCGTTGATGGGGAGCTTGCTTTGATCTGGGATTGCTGGATGGCTGGATGATCCCTTTGGGACTTCTGGCCGCAGAACACCGAAAGTCCAGAGATCAATGTTGCACTCACCACTGGCCTGGGAGCGATGCTTGAAGTATCCACTTCACCCTGAAAATCACCTGAAATCATTCCCAACACCACACAATTATACTGATATACTCTTCCTTTCTGGTTTGCCAGTCAACCGTGTTGGTGTACCAAAGGGAATATTGATATCTCCCCGGTTTGGTGGAGCTTTTGGTTGATCACAGTGACTCTAACCCCGTCGACCCGGTCGTGACCGGTGCTCGCCCGGTCGGGGGCCGCATGATCAACAGAGGCTGGATCAACTGGATCAACTACGTGGCTGCGAGGTGCTGTGGACAACTCACCTGCCGTGCCTTCGATGCTCGACCAGAGAGAGAGAGAGAGAGACAGACACAGAGAGAGAGAGAGAGAGAGAGAGAGAGAAAAGAGAGAAAGAAGAGAGAGAGGGAGCCTATAGTAGCAATGGCCCCCAACCCCAAGTAGCGATGGCCTCCAACCTACTAGCGGAGCGAAGGTGATATTAGCTGCTGCGTACCAGAAAAGGCATTGGTGATCTATGCATCTCATTCTCATCCTGTCACGAATGAGCAGGGTCGTATTCAGCGTCCACATTCAGCCTGGGCCACTTTGCCGAACTGCCCTAGGACACCTTGGGTCGGCTTCGCTGGCAGCTCCCAGAGCGACAGACTTGGAGGAGCAGTCAAGAGGCACACGTGATTGAAACGATGGTGTAGTGTGGGCTGGGTGCAAAGGATCTTGGTGAGGTCAGAACTGGTTGGTCATTTCGCATGACTAGCATTCCAATTGCTCCAGGATGATTGATTGACTGTATTCAATTGGCAGGCAAGGAAGAGCTTCCGTCTTCCGAATGTTGGCAGTTGCAAGCTGGCACTTCCCTCACATCCAAAGGGAAAGATCAGGCAGCTTGGTTTCCTGCTCAAGAATGCATTGATTCCTTCATTTTCTTTTACCTGTGTTTCGTACACGGATGATCAAAACAAATTGAGGTCTTGTAGTGGTTCGACTTTTCCATTTGTTCCCAATTCGATCCACTTTTCCATTTAGATGGGAGCTACTGGGGGTGCTACCGGGTATTGTCAACCCATCCAAACCCTGCGGAAAACCGCTGCGAGATGACGAACCCAGAGGTGTGGCTCTATGAGAAGTACCAGGACTTGCCTGATGTGGCGGAGGTCGGAGGAAGATTGAAGATTTCATTCGTCTTATGTTTGATGCTGTTGATTTTGGTGTGTTATTTTTAGATCACATATGTTTTGTTTTTCTTTCCTTCACTTCTCTTCTGTTCTTTCTTATTCTTTGCAGTATACAGTATACACACCAAGGTTTAAGCCTAAGATGATTGTGCTTCCTGCTCGTGCACGTCGTTGGCTGCTGGTTTTGCATTCTATTGTTTCACTCCCCAAAAGCTGCTTCTCAGCGGCATCGCAACGGTTTTCTCCATCATCGCCGATGCCAGGCGCAGGTGGCCAGCCCCTTCGAGCACGGTCCTGGAATCCTTCTGCCAGCTTCTTCGCAGCAAACCGCTCGCGCGTCTCGCGTTAAGGGTTTGGTGAAGGGAACCCATGGGGACGTTGCAGACATTCCTTTCTTTTTTGAGCCATCCTCATCCGACTTTAGCATTTGGGAGAGGAAGTGAGTGAGTGGTTTGTCTGTGTCGGTGAGGGAGGGCCTGACGTGGAGAGCTGAGGGAGATTTCTCATGACCCCACTGCAATAGAATCTCTGGACATGTGCCCTAAATGAAGAGGAAATTTCCGAAATGGGCCTGTAGACTGGATGCACTGGGTGAAAAATGCCTATGCCTTGTGAGCTTTGTGGGATGCAGGAACGTGAATTGACGAACAAGAACTGATGGGACTGAGTGCTGGTTAGAATCTTGGTTTGTGGACAACCTGCAAGCCAGCCTTGCTGTCGAACAACGGGGGCAAAAAGTGTGGACATTTGCTCCGCGCAGGAGGACAAAAGTGGAGCTGGTGGTTTTTGTTTGCAAAGCCACAAGCTAAGAAAACACCAACGGGATTTGACGAAAGCATCTTGCGGTTTCAAACGGGTTCTCTTTGAGGTTTCTACTGATCCCATGGAGGTTTCTCAAAAGCCCAAAACTTGAATCGAAGAATCCAAGCCAAGTACATTTTCTTCGTGATTTTGAGGGCCAGGACAGGCTTCCACTCATTTCATCCCAGTTTCCTCCCTCAACCCGACATTTCATCTCCTTACCATCCTTTATCCATCTGGTGGTGATGCCGGACTCAGCCGTCATGGTGGTGACGCTCCAGGTGCAGTCCGGTGCCACCATGGACTGGGCCATCTGCCTGGACGTGGGAGAGCAGCTCAACGGACGTCGCCAGCAGGTGCGCGAGCCGCGAGCCGCGACGTGCATGGCCAAACGGACTTGCAACAGGAGTTTGTGGGTCGAAATGGAGGGATCCCAAAAGCATGGAAAAAGGTCATGAATCGAACAATTCGTCCTAATGAAGTCCTAGGTCCTAGATGTTTTTGAAGTTGGGGATTTGTCGGTTCGACTTCTCAAAGATGGCTTCAGGTTCTCCATGTAGAGCTACTTCAAACTTCTTCCATGGTTCTCTTGTTAACACCAAGTTGATCATGAAACATCTATAGAATCTATGACCTCCATGACCTCCTGAGCCACTGGACTTGACTTCACTCCGCTCCTCCCCCCTCTGCTTCTCCGCATTGGGCCGTCCGAGCTGACCAGACCCCAGGCGAGATTGCTGGCGAACCTGGGGCGCCTGGCAGGCGAAGGCATCCTCATCAGCTGGGGACGGCGAGCCCCCAGGCCGAGGAAGAGGATGAAGCAGGATGAAGCCCCCCCAAGCTAGACCAGCGAGTGGAGAAGTTCTTTTCTTGCCCATTCAAGGACTCTGGAATCTGGAGGAGCTCAGATCTGTTTTTGGAGATTTTGCTTGATTGTTTTGTCACTTGTGGTCCCGTTTAGGAATCAATCCGCACATTAGTTCGCAGCTTCCTTGGTTCCCTTTGGTGCCCTTTGTGCCTTGGAAAGGTGGAGGCGTTCCAAATCAACTGATGTTCACGATCCATCCTCCCAGTCAACACGTTTTCCGCGGACCTTCAGGAGGAATTCACTGAACGGAACTGTTTGTTGAAACAGGGGAAGCGCTGGCGGGATCCTTTTTGGGCGACGTGTCGGACAATCATACATGGTCTAGTGGTTTCAGAGTAGATGGCACGATTTTGTGGGGTTTGTTGACTCTTCAGACTCTGAAACCACTAGACCATTTTTCATGTTCCGGTCTCGCGGCGGTATCTGTTGGGTGTCGCGCCAGGGACGACTCCTGGTGGCTGCGGGACTTGGCGTTGTTGGGCTTCCAGAGGGATAAGGACTTGGAGGGAGAGCTGAGGCTCTTCGCAGGCCGCGAGTTCGGGAGCCGCTGCGACCTTCGCTGGGAGCGTTGGGACGAAAGGTATCGACCCTGGTCAAAAAGACAAGGCTTTCAGAAAAGAAAGAAGAGGTCTTCCAGGCGATGTTTTCTTATTAATTCAAATTCTCGGCTTTGACTGCGGGCCACAATCCTTTTCAGTTAATGGTCAGGCATAAACGAGTGCGGCCAGCTTTCACCAGGTGTCGATGTGCTGATCAATCTTCGCTTCGAGTGTAGACTCTTGATCGTTCTTCGCTCCACAAAGACTGGAGAGACTGGAGAGGTAGGTTGACTTTTTAAATGGGGAGGTTTTATTCAACCGGATGGCTTTGAGAATCTGCACTGCCTACGATGGGCTGTGCCACTTGACTCAGACATCTCCTCAGGCTACTCGTCAAGAGTCAGTCTACATCTACCTGGAGCCCTGCTCCGCTATGTAGCTCACGACCTTCCAAGTAGGTCAGCCAAGGTATCCCCGTTCTAGACCCAGAGCCATATTCTCATGGCGCCTTCCGGTGCTGAATTCACCAGGCATCGCTTTGCAAGAGCACCTCCGCCACAGCCTCTGTGTCCTGCGCCGCGGAACGCCGCGGCCGCGGCACCCGCGCTGCGCGCTGGAGCCGGTGAAGGCCACGCCCTACTGTGAGCTGGGCATCACCTTTGGGCGGCTGAACTGCACCAGGAGCAGTTTCTTGATGTCATGTTGACTCTTGATTTGTTCCAAAGCCCCCGTGCCAGAATGGCTGTACACCGTTCCACATCTCCACATGATTCCATGTGGAGGGTCTTCTTCTGCAGTACCCTCGGTCCGCAGCCTGAGGTGCTTGGATGCCCAGCACATCTGGCTCCGTGGCCACTGTGCGGGCCTCTTCCGCCGCTTCGCGCCGCGCAGCTCCAACCGCAGCACGGCAGCGGTGGGCGAGTGCCGCTTGGTGACGACCAGTGGCCTGGCAGAAGAGTGGAAGCCGTGAGGGAGGGAGGCGTGTTGTTGGAGCAAGACATATCCTTAGGGGACAAAGCGCTTCTGAAGACCGGCGCCAGTGTTTTGAGTTCTTCTTCTGCCTCCACTCGCAGGGTAGAACTCACATTTTGTTAGGCTTTGTTAGCAACATCATCCCAGCGCAGCACTGGGGATCTCTTCTTGGCCAGGCCTGCACGAATACGAGGAGTGCAAGCTCCCAGAGCCGGTCGAACCCAGTTCACCAGGGCATTTGGCTGTGGAGACCTCGAGAGGCAGGGTCTTCTGGCTGTTTTGGGTCCATTTGCTGTCCAGATGTGTTGCAGCTACGGTAATCCATCCTACCCCTGCCTGACTCAGTCTGACTCACGTCATCGTCGCTGTCCAAAAGCACCACCCTGCACATCTGACGGGACGTTTGGACCGGAGCTGACTGTGACAGAGTTGGATTTCTGCCAGATCTGCTGCTTCGGACTGACGAGTCACGACTGAATCAATCGGTGACGGTGGGTCGTCAACTCCGACCCCGCACGGTGGGTCGTCTTCCACCGTTCGATTGAGATGGGTGACACACCGGGACCTTGTGGCATCAGGCACTGAATCGCCCGCCCACCGACCGAGCTACGACTGTGTGAGCCTGGGTGTGCCATTGGAGGATTTCTGGCGTCTACATGGCACCATGGCTGATTTTAGCTTCAGTGCTCGGCGACGACCAAGCGAGAGGTTATATAATCGCCATTTCTTTGACTTCATCACCTTACTATACTGCATCTTACTGCAGCACCCTGGCTCGCCACAGACTTCAATCAGAATCATATGCAGGCCAAATGGGGCCTTGGACAACCTCCCAGCTGGTGGGATCTCCTCTGCCCCTGCCTGCTGAGGTATCTCTTTGAACGCGCTCTTCGATAGCGCCGACCCCTTGGTACGAATGGCCGAGCCCATTTGGACCCAGGAGTCCTGTGGGGTCTTGGCCATGAGCTTCAAGCTCTTGAGGACTGGAACATGGGACTGGAGATGTCCAAAGACTTGGAGAGTGGAGGATGGAAGAGGTAAACAGATTTTGCTTTAGGGTGGAGGCTGGCACAGAAAGGATGCTGAAGGGCATCGTTTTTTGTACTCTGCTTGTGCATGGTCTTTTTTGAACGACAGCGTTGGGGCGTATGCTCCAACGAATTCTCTCCCGTGCATCCTGATTCTCTTGGACCTTTTCGGCGCGGATGCGCAGGTTGCTTGCAGCGCCCCAGCAGCACTTCTTCTCACAGCTGCAGACGCTCGGAGGACCTCGAGGGACCTCGAGGGACCTCGAGGGACCTCGAGGGACGACGGGACGCCTTGTGGTCCGGGCCATGGGCCTGTGCGTGTGAACCCAAATGAAGGAGGGCCACCAGAAATGGGGGGCCAGAACGGCCAGCAGCATCCAGAAGTTGGCTGCATCCTTCAAATGTGAATTCAGTTTTTGTAATGGAGAGCCATTGAGGCAATCCTCAACTCTGGCAAAATGGGGGTCATGCAATCAATGATAAGCTGAGTTCCTGGCATTTCCAGGCACTCTTTAACAAGCGAATTCAGGCCACACAGTACAAAGTCGCTCAACACCATTCAGAACCATCCACCTTTCATCCCTCCACCGGTGGATGAATTTCCTTCCAAACTCGGTCATGCGACACCGCTTGCGCTTCGCTTCTTGTGACACCGATGCAGCGGCCCCAAGGGCAGCCCTGCGGAGCCCTGCGGAGGTCTGCGGAGCCGACGACACTCGTGTCGCACGCGCCGAGGAAGGTCTGGTCCAGCGAGGGCCAATTCATTCTGCAGAAGTGGCGCTGGGAGCTACTCGGCGGATGCGGAGGATGTTGGAGTTTGGAATCAAACTGATTGGTTGGTTTTCTTTCAAACAGGGGGTTTCTGTCGAACTGATTGGTCTTGACAAAACCCTTCGGGGTTTAACTCTGAAGTGGTTGCTCCCATCCCGGCACCCTGTGAGCCATCACCGACACACCCATCTCCTGCTTCAACAGGTTTGGTGTGAAAGCATTTGACATTTCTTGGGGGCACCGGCGCTTCGTCCCAACCTGCCCTCGTTCCAACCCTTAAGGCTCTCGGACAACTGTTGGTTGTCCTCCTTGCTGCTCCGTGCCGCCCGGCGCTGGCGTGCGACCGCACCCCGGCCTGGTGGTGGACTGACGAGGAGTGAAAAGGGTCACTGCCGAATGGGTTGCTGTAATGAGCACGAGTCCAAGAAGAAGTTGGCACATATTGGCTGGTTGTGAAAGGGCGGGTGGAAAGAACAGCTACTGTATGCAGCGTGCAGGGCTGACTTTTGATGTTGTTGCCTCCCAAAACTGCATGCTCCAAACTTAAAGAAAACTGATTTTGGCGGGGAAATGCACGAACGATCTAAAACCAAAACCATTGACCACGGTGTTTGGATGATCTCCGCATCGATAGGAGTCGTGTACGCCTTGCGGCTCGACGGCTCCGTCGCTGCGCACTTCGTCGTGGAGGGTCCTGCAAGGCGGGGCAGGCGGAGGAGACGGCAGTGGCAGTGGTGCCAGCAGGCAGAAATGGTCAGATCAGCATTGTTGAAGATTTTGGTCTGGCCAATGAGGGAATTCTGAATTGTCAGGTCTATGCAGGTGTGTGCAGGTGTGAACATATTCAGACTTCGTCTTGACTGTTGGACTCGGTTGGATGGTTCAAAGATAGGGAGCTTCGCTTGACAGAGCTTTTGAAGAAAGGTATACATGGGAACTGGTCTCAGTTCCATGTGGTTTCCCTTGACTTGGAGGATGAGTCCCAAGTGAAACGATAACACAAGGAAAACCCATCTTCAAAACCCCTTGCTTTGTGTCTCCAAACCTTTTTCATCCATCAAACATATATACATCATTGTTGCCTTCCTGAAGTCATTTGTGGCCTTTGGCAGCGGGCGGAGCAACTTTCAGCTTGCTTTAAGCCGCACTTTAAGATGATCGGTGCTGCTCGCCAGATGCCAGCAATGAATGATCGTGTATGGCCCTTTTTTTGGCCAATCCTTGCCAGTGTTGGTCAGACGCAGCGAGTTTCAAGACCTCATGGCCATCGGGCGCAGCACGGATCTGCCCAGCTTCCGGATCTGGCTTCTGCTGATGTGGCACACCTGGGTCTCCAAGGCAAGTGCAAGCTGGACATGGAAAAAGAAACAATCAAAATAAGGGTCTCCTCCTCCTTCCTCCTCTGCAAGGAACGCCTCCTCGCATCCCACCGACCCCCCCGACACGTGAGCGCGTGAGGCGGCGGTGAGCGCCCTGCGGCCGCCGCTGCGGCACGCCGCGTCTGAGCGGGCGAGCTTTGGAGAGCTGCTGCAGGTGCGGGGGAGATCTGGGGAGTCTGGGGAGGGGGACAACCACAGACCAGTGGTTTGGAAGATTGAAGAGGTTGGAAGAGGTTGGAAGAGATGGACTCGGAATAGAATGGTCTTCCAGCTTTTGAAGAGCTTTGGAAGAGATGTGATCTGGCGCATGCTGCATACGTTTGGGCCTGCTGTTTTTGTTTGGGGCGGTGAACCGGACTCCCCAGCTCGGTGCTTCAAAGTCGTCCAGCACATCAAGCTGGATGCGCAAGTATAGACATCGGCGGGTGGAAGCATTGGATGGAACTCAGCCACATTTGAAACGATCATGCTCAACACTAAAGCCGTTTCTTTTTTTCCCACAAGTCCACCTTTGTGATCGCTCGAACGCTTCCCGAAGTTGAAGTGAATTCATGCCAGCCTTTGGGAAGCATTTTGGGCAGCATTTTGGGCTCAGGAAGAGTAAAGAGATCTGCTTTTTAGCACATTTCGCAACTGATAAGATGGCGACCTGTGGCGATTGCTGCTGCCCCCCCCGAGTGCCAGAGCGAGGAGGGGGCGAAACGACGAGTGCCTGAGAACCAGAACTCAAAGGGTACAAGGAAGATGCAAATCACGAGCGCGAGGATGGGAGGGTTTCCTAGGGACCTTGGGCGATCGTTTGTGAAGCAGTCCATGAAGTCGATGAAGTTCTTCGCATAGGTGGGCATATGCGGCATAGGTGTTCATCTCGTAGTATGTTCAGGGGTTCCTATGAAGATCCATTCGAAAAAGCCTCTCATCACTCCCAAAACACGGTTGAGATGCGGCACGACTCCCACAGTCCTTTTGGCACCCGACGGTTTGCCGTGCGTCGGTTCTCTTCCGCGAGTGCGGCGGAGGAGTGCGGATGCAAGTGCGGCGAGTCGATCGCGACGTTGGGAGCCTTCTTCATTGCAGCTGCGGGAGCCTTCTGGCTCGTAGGCCGGACATGGCTCGAGCCGGGCTTTGGCTTGGCCACCGAGCTGGGAGTCGGGGGACAAGAGTGGTTTGGGCTGTAGGTGGGGTGCCGAGGTGTTCTGTGACCAGATGTGACCAGATGTTGGATGCTCTCTTGGAAGGTGATATTCCAAGTGATCTTTGGTATTATGTGATCCTGGATTTGAAGGACCTCCAGGTCTTGGGCACTTCTGTTGGATCTTTGAAGGACCTCGTCTCCACAGGGACCACGTTCTTATTTTCGCTCCAATGGACCTGCAGGGACCTTTTGGCCTTCACTCCGCAACTACCATCGAAGTACAAGCCGGGCCCTTTGGAAAGATGATCCCAAGGTTCAAGGTTCAAGGGAAGTTGAACTGGGTGTGTATAAAAATAGGGAGACCTCCAAGTTCAACTTCCTGGAAGAAGGACAGTAGACCAGTCTACCCATTGCTTGTAGAGCCTCGGATTCAAATCCACACCCTCCCGGTTCACGGTTTTTTCATGTCTTTTTCCATCGGTCACCGTACCACGAACGTCGCTCCTCTCCGTTCGCTCCTCTCCGTCGCATCCTCAGTCCCGCGGGAGGCGCACTCGCCGGCTGGAACGGTCCGGACACCCACTTCCAGTCCGACGCTTGGACAGGTGTCCGGACGGGTTTTCGCGTCTGCGTCCGAGCCAGCACCCTTTCTCCTCACCTCCCCGGTTTTCTCCGGGGGGGGCGGCCAAAACGGTGGGTGGTCTTTATTGTGTCTGCGGATTTGGTGCACACGGAGGTTTTGCTGCCATTCGTTTGCATTTGATGTCTTGGGAGTCTCGTTTTTTTGAGAAATGGCGCCGGGAGGTTTCTCGGGTGTTGAGCTGGACGAGCCTCCGTTCAGGATCCTGACGTTTCATCGATGGACTGGACGGAGTTCTCGGTGAAACATCCGGATGTGCTCAAACAGTGAGGAAGAATGGCCCGGTCCGGTCCGTCTCCGTTCGCGCCTGGACCATGGTGGTCACGACGGCCAGGGTCTTTGGATAGTGCGGTTGTTTTTGCTTGATGGGGTGAGACTGATGAAGATGACCCACGTATGTTCCACAGAATGGAAAAGGAATATTGGGCAGTTCTTTGTACAGGTGAGCACCTCTCAAACGTTCAAAGTTTGTGGTTTTCAGGACGTTCCTCGCCAGATGAAAAACACGACGGTCTCTCTCTCTCTCTCTCTCTCTCTCTCTGTCCGTGCACAAATAACACAGATTTCGGTCGGCAGAGGATTTGACCTACCACCAGTTCAACATGTTCTGGTTCTACCTGGGCGGAATCACTGTGGCTGTGGGCATCGTCTACGCGCTCTACGCCCGGAAGGGCTCAGCCTTTGCGCGCGAGCCAGCCGATCAGCCTGAAGACGAGGAGGGCAAGGACTGCGCTTGGCGGGGGTCGTGTCGTGTCGCGGAGCCGATTCCGGCCCAGTTCCAGCAGGTAAGTTGACCGTCTCCGAAGTCAGTGCCTTCAATACATGCTTCCTGATTCGGAGCCCCGCAATGTCCAAGAAGTCCACAAGTGCCCTTAAAGTGCCCTTAATATGCCTCAATGAATGAGTTGCGCCTCAAATTCCAGAAACTTGGACCTGTCTCACCCTGCAGTGTTCTTTATCTCAGCAGTCCGCCTTGGCCCAGACGCAAGACGCCCGGCGCCAGGAGAAGCCTGCGGCTGCGCCGACGCCCTACGTCATGCTCCCTGCTGAGCCGTGAGCGCTTTTTTCCGGAAAGCTCAACAGCTCGGCGGCCCCCCACCGCGGGGGTTGGAGGACACCGACCAGCCATCTTCGGAAGAGTGTGGGATGGTTTAAAGATGGTTTTTAAGATGTGGAATGATGGATTTTTAGGATCGTGAATGTTTATACTTCCTTTTTTGGTGCCAGACCACGTGCTTGTTCCAGATTTGACATCCTCTCTTTCTGGCTTTCTTTCCATTCAAGAGCATCGGTCGGGCCCCTGGCGGTGGGTCGCGTGCGAGCGGGAAGAGACGGGACTGTTCCATGGATTTTGAGCGAAAAAGGAGGGCGCGGATCGCGGTCGCGCAGATCGGTGGTGACTGGGTGGCTGGCGACTGTCTCTACACCAATTTGGGTGAAGACTAGGGATGGATCGCCTGCTGAAATGGACAGATCACTGGCGAAAGTCCCACCTTCAATCACTGTCAAACCGCTGCGATACGATGTGCTCACTCTGGGGGCACACACCTCGCCTTCTCCGTCCTGGTTGGGTTGTTTCCTTGTTGGTTGACACTTTGGGCCAGGCGAGTGAAGACCTGTGGAGGGTTGGGGCCTTGGACCGCACGGCGAAGCGAACATTGGGCTGAGCTCTTTCTTTTTGTGTCTGGGTCTTGGTTGCGAGACTAGCGTCCAGGTGAAACTCCGGTTGAGGATGTAGACCCCCTAACCAATAGGTATCGTAGTTGGTGTCATCTTGAAAGTGGCCACGTCTCAGCCTTCATCATTCCTTCAGTCGGACGAACGAGTTCGTGGAGACGGGCTGAGACGGGAGTTGTGGCACCTCCAGGCAATCTCCCTAGCCCTTCCAAGCGGTGCTCTGCCTGGAAACGGATCCAAAAAAGTAGAGTGGGTTGACCGGAAGCAGCTGGTATATTCTCTTCCATTCACACCCTGATTTGATTGGGCGAATTTCTTCCAAGTACGCGAGAGCCTCTAGACGGTTTGACATTGCCTTTTTTGTTAATGCTCTTCGGTGTGAACCGCGAAATAACTCCAGTCTGGGAGTGTTTCAAATCATGGATGCCCTGAAGCCCTACTACCAGCAAGTTCCAAAGTAGATTAAATGCCATTGGCCTGACAAGGCCTTGTCAAAGGAAGGTCGTAAACCTCGAGCAACCAAGGTCTTGTCCCACGGAAGGCCGTCGTGTGGTGTTGGGGAAGCTCAGAGGGACAGTCAGTTGGAGAGTTGCTTTTCCCTCCAAAGTCCTTGTGATGGGTTGCATTATTGGCATGGAAATGAACGCCATGTTGTCTGCCAAAGTTCGCCAAAACCGAAGCAGCTCTTCTCATCTTCAGTTGCGGTTCAAACCTCCCAAATGCTCGGAAAAAGATCGGCATGAGGAAGATGAGTCAGAGAAGAGTTGCTTCGGTTTTTCACTCCAACTCGCGGGACCAGCAGAGCTGAAACAGCGTGGAGAAAAGGAACCAAGCCCTTGCTGGCCAAACGCCCCGTGACGACTGGCCTCGTTGGCAGAATGGCAGCTGTAGCTGATGGGACACCTTGAAATAGATATTCGAAGCATGCCGTCCTGGACACCCTCACACGGTCTAACCTCCAAGCTGCTCCTTGAAGAATCTTCTTGATGACTGGACTTTCAAGAAGAACCTGGTTGGTCAAGTTGGAGACCCCAGTGGGATAAGTGAATCATTTTGGATTCACCCCATGTGGGAGGTGCCCTGAAAGCATGAGCAAACAACTTCAGATTTGATCTTTCAGGGAGCCCTGAGTAGTAGAAGTTCTCTCTATTTGCTCGGGTCAACCTCATAAAAACTACAGGGCGTTTCCACAAATAGGAGACGTTTCCTCATCAAAGACTGCTTCTTAAAGTGGTGTATGACATACATTGAATCCCAAATCTCAAGACATACCTTTTCAAAAGCCCTGCTCCCTGTCCGCCCTCACGGCTCCAAGGTTTGCCACTGGAAAACACCGGGCTGCGGAAACCCACAAACCGTCGCCGTTGCCCCAGGCCATGCGCCCGGAGCTACAACGGTATGTGCAGCGCTTGGTCGCGTCACTTGGAGATGATAGAGGAAGAGGGCGAAGCCATGTTTTTTCCTGTCAAACAACAGGTCCTTTTTTGGGGTCTGGTCAAAAGGAACCAGACGATTGCAGGATCAACTGATGAACTACGCCGTTTATGTTGAACTCTTGCCAAATGAATTGGGGACGGGATCAGGTGGCATGTAGCGAGCGTTTGACACACGCCCCAGCGTTTGACACGAGCACACAGCTGCTCACCAAAGGTGGGTCCTTTTCTGTTCTAAGCTTTGGTGACCAGCAGGGGTCGCTAAGCAGGAATAGAAGGTGACACTGCTCAATGGCTTTTTGAAGCTAAGCAGGTGTCGCGGTGTCGCCATGGGATGAGCTGTCCTCCATGGACTCCGCAGTCGAGCAGTCGAGCAGTGAATGGACTGCACCAGCTGCACCGCTTGCTGCATGGTGCTGGCTCGTTTGCTGAGAAAACGGAACCAGGGCGCCAGTTCTCTGTCGTCACGTGCGTAGAACCAGAACCTCGGCGTGCCCAGAGGCGAACCATGTGAGGATTTCTTGACTTTGCCCGTTGCCCAAACAAAAGGCATGTGTTTCTCTTTGCTCAACTGCTAAAGCAACTACTTAACCCGAGGCGAACGCATCAGTACACTGAATTTTTTCAACGATTTTGGTCAAATGGTCAAAGCTCTTCATCGAGTCGTTGTTTGCGCGGCGGCTTGAGAGCTAGAAAGCTGACCCAACAGCCGGGAGCAAAGTGCCAGGAGGCATGTAACAAACGAAGATGACTTGAATTTCTCAACCTGAGTGATTTGTCAAGGGCAAGATGGATTTGTCTTGGGCTTCCAATATTTCCAAGTTTAAACTTTACAGTGATTTGCAACACTCACCTTGGCAAGAGTCAACAGCGTGGTAAAGCCTTCCTTGTAGATCCCTTTGGAAACATCCACCTAGTAGGGACAAGGACCTAAAGCCACGTGCGGTGCCTTGCAGAAAAGGTGGTGATACAGCTTTGGCAAGAAATGGCAGGTTTGATTTCCTCAATCAACCGATGCGTTTTGGACTGGTTGGTGTTTACCCGCGTCCACCCAGGCTACCATACTGACCGCTTGTGCTTTCGAAGCTGCCTCTGAAGGGAAAGAGTTGGCGCTGGGTACGGGTGGAACCGGCCGACGACCAAGTGCGAGGGTCGTGGGATGAACCCCACGACTGAGCCAAGCAGCAGGACTGTCTTGACCCAAGTGAGCCAGTGAGCAGCATGACCAATCGACCCATATTCTGATTGTACCTAGCTTTGGCATTTGATAGAACCCCAAACCACCTGTCAAACGTGTCAGAGATGCAGAGTTCGGACGATAAGATTGGTTGCGCGATTGCACGATCGAGCAATCTTTCTTTATGGCATGTTTGGTGTTGGTACTTGGCGCGGATCCTTTTCTAGTACTATTCGCTTCAAGGGTTCTTTTGGCAATTCTTTGGGGGTGGTGGGCCCCAATCTCTTCAGAGCAGCTTGCACTTAAGACTTTCTTGGCCAAATTGCTTTTGGGTAGCAACCCCACAACAGGATGATTGTTCAATACAATACTTACCAGAATTTTCAATTTCCGACTGCAAGGCGATGTCGTCTTGGTGCTACTGTGTGCAGTGTAGGGGGGTACATGTGGGTCTACGTCGGCTCAACAGCCCTCATCCATTCGAGTGACTAGAGTAGTGCAATGAAGATGTCCAACATGTTCAGCATCCTCGAAAATCATGAGTTGCGGTAGGGTGCTAGATGTTAAGCAGCAAGATCATAGCCAGGTCCAGATCTGTTTTTTCTGATACTGTAATTCATCATCCTTTCGGCACATGGAATCATGGTAGTCCTTCAGGGTTCAACACAGGTTGTCTTTCTTTCGAAAACGCTGGAGACTTTGAAGCTTGGGACAAAGACGGAACACAGACTGTTCCGGGCATGGCGGTACAGAAGCCGGAGGAGGCGGGAAGAGGCTCCAGAGAGAGGATGGCAGGGTTGGAAGATATATGCTTGGATGTTGGATTCATTCTTTTCTGAGGCAACAGTTCATGGATATGGGAGAGCATCATTGCTAGAGTCGCTTCAGGGCAAGGACCATCTAGGACGGTACATGCCCCGGTTTTTTTCCCTCCCAAACACCTGACCATTGACCCTCACGTCAGACCGTCACCGCTTTGATGCCTCACCGTCCCACCGTCCCACCGCGTGAGCGCGCCGTCCGAGACGCCCGAGGAGCATCCCGCCGGAGCTCCTTTGAGCTCCAAAGACGTGGAGGAGACCAAGGCCGACGTCCAGACTGGCGGGGTGGTGGGTGGGTGGGACGATGTTGACCCAGAACGACCATACTTCGCTCCAAACCTCAAGCATCGCGGTGTTCGGGGCGGTGTTCGGGTGTAACTCGGGTGTTTTGGACTTGTAACTTGGCCCACCTGGCCGCCGCAGAAGCTTTGTTTTTGGGCACTTGGCGAATCTTTGCGAGAGGGTCTGCGATCCGGGTTGGGAACTCCTTCTCTTCCTTCCAGTTCTACTCCATCTTTTCGAAGCAGCCTTGGTCTTGCACATGACTGTCACAACGAATCTGTCCTTCTGTCAGCATAGGTGGCATGCACATCATAAGCGACCATAGTCTGGAGGTGCAAAAAGAATCCAAGCTCCTTTGGCTGGATCACCAGTGATGTTGGACCTGTGCTTGCAGGACATGGACCGTTCCACTTCCGATGAGGAAGATGCCACCGACGATGCATCCAAAACCAAGATGCTCGTCTTGGACCAGGAAAAATGAAACCGTTTCGAAGCGGAAAGACACTTCACTCTTGGGATCTTGAAGTAGCTCCAAAAGTTGGGATCTTGGCTGTGGGAAGGGAATTGGACACACCAACGGGTCATTCCTTGTGTTGTTTGCTCATGACCCTAGTGGATATCCTTTGAGGGAAAGCTGCTAAGGATCACCGATTTCTTAGCTACTTGGAGCTTCACAAGGTGAAAAAGCAGCTTGTTCATAAGAAGTTGCCAGTCTCCGTTCTTCACCTTGTCTGCGGCGGCTGGTGGTTTGCACCTGCCTTCCCGAGCACCTGAGGATCGAAGAGTTGACGGACGACTGGGTGGAGGACCACATGAAGGACGTCACAGTGGCCGTTTCTTGGCGAACGTGGTTCAAGAGCTGGCTGGGACAAGTCCAGCTCTTCTGGGAGATCGAAGAAGGGCGCAACATCAGCATGGGACGCTCCTTCCATGCAAAAGAGCACTTTTGGATTTGAGATGATTTGAGGTACACTTTTGACATGAACGGGCACGAACCATTCCAGGCCCCACACTCCAAGTCCAGGCCACGCACTCCACCCCTCTCTTCCCCCTTGGCTCCCTGCAGCCCAGGTGATTGGGAACGTGGACAGTGGGAAGTCCACCCTGGTGGGTGTGCTCACCAAGGGCGGCCTGGATGATGGCCGCGGCTTGGCTCGGGCCAAGGCTGGTGGCAGGGTGGGAAGAAGGGTGACCGGCATGAGAGGATGGCAAGAAGACCGGTTGGAAGCTGGATGTGGAACTCAAGATGAGTGGGTGAAAGTAGGTAACAGTTTGGGAACGTGAAGGCCACGAGACCTTCTCCCTCAAGGCCCCGTGACAATCCGCGAAGGAAGGACGTGCACGAGGCTTTGAACACACCCTCCGGCTGGATCAAGCCGGATCAACTCTGGTTCTGCGTTCTGCTCGTTCTGTTCGTTCTGCTCGCTGGTGCCAGGTCTTCAACTTTTCCCATGAAGCCGCCAATGGACGTACGAGCAGCATCGCGCAGGCGTGAAGACGTCCACCGTCCGCACCCCAAAAGGCGACGGTGCAGAAGGGCAGAGTCGTCTTTGCCTCCAAAAGTCCAGTCTCCAAGATGCCAACAAAGAACGGGTGCTTTTCAGATCCCCCAAGAACCGAAAAAGGAGCCAGTTCTGAGCACTTGGCGTCCAGAAGCCGTGAAAGCCTGAAGTGAAGACCACCCCGAGGGGGACACCACTTTCCGCTGTTGAACCGTTGGACGTTTCGTAAAGCAAAGCCTGTCCTCGCTGGCTTTTGGGCAGCGGTTCCGTGTCCTTGTTCCACGACTGGAGCTGGGCGAGCTGTCCTCAGGAGATTATGGGCTTCAATTCCGGTGGCGATCAGGCAGGCTACAAGCGCACAAACCTCCGAGATCCACGGGTGCCAATCCGTGGCGTCCAGAGCCGACAGTCCAATACCAACTGTGACGAAGGGGGTGGTGTTTAGTCCCTAAGTGAGTGGATGTTCTGGGCAGCCCTGACCTCTTCATAAAGCACCCCTTTTCTTCACAACAATCAGTCGAGAAAGTTCGTCCAACCCTCTCCAGAGAGTTTCAGCCACATCACTGTGGATTTTCAGTGTCTTTGTTCTTTAGGCCATTTGAGGGGCACTTACTGGTCGGGTGGACTATATTTTTACGGACACGTTGTAGCACTGGCCCTAGTGGAGCTAGACTGCAGAGGGCGGACTTTCCATTTGACTACAGGATGCAAAAGATTTGGTCTTCAAACATCGTCACGCTGAGGGTTCCATCTGTCTACCAAGACCCTGACCTGATGACTGCCGGCGTGAGACAGTGAGAGGTGCTGATTGAGCGCATGGCCAACACCACGGCCAACTCGAGGAACACCACCTGGCAGCAGGTGGACTCGTGCGGAATTTGGAGCCGCCACGGGTGTTCTTGGTCAAAGGGAGGTGTAGAAGAACCGCCAATGTGAGGATGCAGCGAACGTTCGAAGTCATCCATTTCATGGCACGTGCGAACGCCTCCAAGCACTCAGAGTGATGAAAGTCAAAAGCGACTTCAAACAGGGATGGACTAGCAAAGGTGTGGCAACAGGTAGGGCAGAATGATTCCTTTGACAGAACTGCAGCTGGAGGAGGAGGAGGCAAGAAAAGTTATTCTTTTCCCTCTTGGCCGCATCTAACTCTCTTGATCCGCAACTTTTCCAGCTACTATCAGAGGAACTCCATCTAAGAGCTCCCTTACTCTTTGACCTAAAGGTTCCCACTTCGGGGGGCTTCCTTCCCGGCGCAGGTGAGACTCTCTCACTTGGGCTTAGCTTCCCTCCTCCCCGCCGCTTCCGCTGCTTCACGGCTTCTCCAGGTGATGGAGAAGTCGGAGCGGCTGGTCACCTTCAGCGCCTCGGAGATCGGTCGGGACGAAGGATGGGTCACGGAGGGTCCCAGAGTCCGAGCGCGTGGAAGGACCCCCCGTTGTGGGCGTGACCGACCGACCTGTTCAGAGTAGGGCCGTCGTCTTGGACGGGGTTCTCCGATGTCCGGACAGGGTGCGCACGAAAATCGTGGCAGAAGAAGGGGCGCCAATGGTGCAAGCTTGTTGTTTCTTTGGATTGGAGAGCACCAAGGGCCTTTGTGGCCCTACTCCGGTGCTTTTGCATGTCGCACGAGAGGTTGTTCGTTCAGCAAGTGCTACACGAGTTTCACCCCAAAGATCTGAACCAAGCAATACCCGGCCGCCCTTCACGGCCTGCGCTCCACGACCGACCGCATTCAGCTCCGAAGGGCGCGACCGCTCCAGCCCTTCGAGGTGACCTCTGTGGCCATGAGAAGTACCTGAAGACCACGATCTTCGGACTGGTGGGGCAGTGCCCGGATGCCTGGATGCGCGGCATGGGAGGGAGCTTGAGGTTTGTTTTCGTCCATCAAGGGGCATTGAGGCACAGTTTGGAAATCTTTCCAGCTTTTTCAACTCAACCTTATGACCTTTGCTGTTACTAAGTCTTGATCTTGCAAGTACCGGACTGGACCGAAGTCGGCGTTCTTGACCCGGTCGGCACCGAGGCCCAGACTATACCATGATCATCGTGAACGCCAACGCTGGCTTCCAGCGCATGTCCCGGGAGCACCTGGGCATTGCGCTGGCCTTGCGCCGGGGGTCCCAGTCGAATGTGGAGGTGGCCTGGACATGACCTGCTTGAGCAGCTGCATGAGAATTTGGGGGTTGGATTTTTTCACCTTTTAGGGTGCCTTGTCGGGCAAGGGCCTCTGGTTGGGGGGTTTGTGCTGGACGGATGTGGCAATCAAAGTTCCCTGGAGTTGAAGGAGGGTGGGAATCACCAGAGTGGAAGAAGGGGGCCAAGAACCGGACCGCCCTGCCATTTCAGGTACCGTTCTTTTAATTGCTTTGGTCCCAGCTGTGGACCGAGTTGCTAGAGCTGCAGTCCGAGCTTGGAGAAGAAGTGGCGGAACGTTTTGCACCCCCACTTGGCTTGATCGATCTGTGAAGAGAGCGCCCTCCCACAGTCCTGTGAGGAATACCCTTCTTTATCGTCGTCACCAAGATCGACATCGCGCCACAGCATCTGGGCCGCAGCAGCTTTGTGGTGGATTTGGGTGGTGGCCGTGGCCCTTGGATAATAGCAAAGACCCGAAGCTGTGAAGCCAAAGCAAAGGCATTTCTGGTGGGTCGAAATCTTTGGTTTTTGGTGAGAATCCCTTGACATGAAGACAACACCTTTTAAACAATCTTACAACTGCACTGAAACAGGTGGGGGGGACTTGGGAAATGAACCTTCCTTGCCACTCGTTCATCTACCCAGCCTTCTTGGTTGCCACGGGCAAAGCAGTCGCTCGAGACGCTACGGTTCACCAGCACCAGTGGGCCCAGTATCGGATACCAGGATACCAGTATCGGTTCCCAGTTCCCTCACGTGTTTGAATGTTTTTGTCAATAGGATGGACCCACGAGATAGACCATGATAGACCCATCTCGACACCCCCCAAACCCGCCACGGGCGCCTCCAAACCGAGCTGGTCCACACCACTTAGGGCTACCTAGCTCGAAGCCGCACGTTCCAGGAACGTCTATGAGGAGAACCTCATGCAGCTCCACAAGATTGTGAGGTGCGGCAACGTCAGGGTGGTCTGAGGAAAATCGACTCCTTGATTGCAGATCTTTCTTTTTAGATAGTCATAGAGTCATACATGAGGGACAATACTTCAATACTATTTGAGTCTATTTGCAATGTTTATGCTTGCCTCTTTGCAGTTGGCGCCTTGTTTTCCGCCCGACATGGCTTGCCCACCTCCACCCTCGACCCGAAGGACTCACTCACCCGAAACAGGTCCAATGCCGTGAAGCGGCAGCCGCTGGTGGTCAAGGAGCCGGAGGAGCTGGAAGGCGCGGCGCGCGGCATCTACCAGAAGGAGGCGGGGAGAGAGCTCCGGCGCTGAGAGCCATGTCAAGAGGACGAAACCGGGTCCGGGGACCCGGTTTCGTCCTGACCGAGTGGGGTCCGGCGGGCGCGGTGTACTGTGCCAGGTGTGTCCCATCTTCTGCATCTCCAGCGTCACGGGAGAAGGCGGAGAACGGGGCACAGAATTGATGTGAAGTGACTGAAGTGGCGACCTTCACTCCTCAGTGCAGAAGCTTCCGAGAACCAAAAATAGACACACAAACAGAATCATACAGATATAAGCAAAGGATAGCAAAGGAAGAAAGAACAAATCGGACCGATTTCGCGGCAGAATCTCCTCAGCTTTTTTGGGGGGTCCTGGTTGACCAAGTGTTTCGTTTGGTGTGTATGGCGAAATTGCAGCTGCATATCACCTCAGCATATGTTGATTTGCAACCCCAGACAATAGTTAGTTGTAAAGCCACAAATCCACTCGGGGCTTTTTTTTTGATTTCTCGTGACGGACAGAGGCCGGGGTTGAGTCCAAAGACTGGTGGATTGGCGGAGTGCCGGCACGAGCAAGGTGAGAGTCTAAATCCTATAGTCAAACGAGGTGAGTTGAGCCATAGTCAAACTTATTTGTCTAAAGACTTGTCATAGATTAGGGGAGGAGGTTAAGATGATCTCGACTGGGCAGAAGTCAAGGCCATTGCTGTCACTCATGACTCCACCCCCAATATCTTCTTGGGAAATCACATGTTGCTACATATTTGTCGCAGGACTCCTCGCTCTATTCTACAAAATCGTCGTTGTTGAAGATGCATGGTCTACTCCAAACTTCGTCCTGTCCTGTTCCGTCATTTCAATAGTTTGTGATCCTATCAGTTCAGACTGATGGTTTAGCTGGGAACCATTTTTGGGAAGTCGGACCAGTGATACATTCGGACCAAGCCTTGTTGATCGCGCGATGAGTCTATCAGGTCTATCGGATGATTCTATCAGGTATCTCCAGCGACTTGAATAGATATGAATAGGCCCAAGCAATGCAGAATAGATGTGGGCCTATTCATATTTAATTGGTTGTGTTCCTAAGAATCATTAAAGAAGCTACTAGTAACAAGTGCCACGCTAGTAGTAACAGGTGCCTTACTAGTAGTAACAATGTTTGCTATTAATTTAAAGAAGCCTATTCATTGGTTGGGCCCATATCCGATATTCATCAACCGTGGAACGAGATGTGGCCTCGATGCTGACGCCTGTGTCGAAACTCCGTTGCGGCCAGGCCTCCCCTTGCTTCGCAACTTTCTACGGTGTTTGCCCTCGAGGCTGCAGGAGCGGTTTCGGTGTGCTGAGTGTAAGATGGAGAAGCTCCTGGTTGGGAGGTTACTTGGGGTAGTAGAGGGAGAGAGTACTTGCTTTGTTCACACCATGGTGCTTGAAACGCATGAAGATCACCTTGCTCCGGTGTAAGAAACCCAGAGCCCCCCAGTTTGTTGACGCCCGGCGACCCATGAAACATCCAAACCGTTCCCGACCACCAGAAGGATTTATATATCTCGGGCGGGCAAGCGCGAGCGCTCAGCAGCAGCAGAGCGGCTCGCAGGTCAAGGTCCGTCCAAAACTAACAACAAAAAGGCCGAGCCAGGTCGGCCTTGCGCCTGATCGGGCGTGACGATGTCCAGGAGCGAAGCGCTGTGTGACAGCGAACACGGAGCACATCCGGCAACTGTAGCCGAATGCCAAGGCACGGAACAAACACACCAAGATCAATCATCCTCCTACCGTCAAGAGGAATGACCTCCACCCCCAAAAACTGACACAGTTCCGTGAGTGCTCCCTTCAAAGAGGCCAAAAGTTGGGAGATGGTTGGACGAGTAAAAAGAGACTGCACAAACTCGTGTCTGATACCATCATGCCCCGCAGAAAAGGGAAAACGAACCGGAGCTAAAAAGGCCATAATAAACACCAGCTCCAAAAAGCTATACACACGAGGTTGGCAACTAGCTATACAATGTTGTAAAACCCAACTCTGCAAATCATGCAAAAAAAATGGAGGAAAGTGTCTCCATGGCCCTAACACCGCCCTCACGCAGCAGCGAGCACAACGTGACATCCTCGAAGTCCTCCGGCTCACTAGAAAGGACAGTCACGACTGGCTCATCTTGCTGACGGCGCTCGCCCGCTGCAACCAAGAAACGAAAGGTATGATCCAGCCTCTCCCACCAAGAGGAGTCGAACGAACGAACCCGCTCAAACAAGTCATTGGCACTGTGTCCTCTGTTGCTGTCGAAGAAACCCGCATTCTTATCAGCAACCGAGTTCCAGCGCGCCACCCAACATTCGAACGGGGTACAACAAAGGCTGGCATCCAAATGCGACGGCACCCAGTGGTAGAAAAGGGTGCCGGCCGAGTAGAGCTCTTGTTCTTGCAGCAAAGAGCGCCATAGGTCTTGGTGGGCCCATGAGGCCGGCACCGTGCCATGCAACAACATGAAACAGGCACCGGCTACCACATATTGCGAATCGCTCCAGATATGAAGTTCACTAAGGTCGCCTGCATTGCCCCAGACGGTGGCACTGAGGGCCGCTGTCAGCTCGGCCCGGCTGATGCTTTGATGCAGCCCGGACAGAGGGCCGCCCGACACCATGCGGCCCGAGGTGGAGTCAACCACGGCCCACGCAGCATGTTTCAAACGTGACCGTTTGTACTTCATGGCAGTCCCGTCAGTAAAAACATGATGTACTTTATCGGTAGGCCGAAGGGCGAAATCATCCACCCGAGGATCCAGCTGCAAAAAGTAGCAGTCCAGTTCATCCACAAGTCCAGCCCGTGAAAGGAGAAGGTGGTTTCGAAAACATTGTGGCCAAGCACCGGGGGATTCATGATGACCATCTAAATCAACCCTCAAATCAGAAAATCTGGGGCAGCTAAACCAGTGATCCACCGTATCCAAGACACCACAAGTGGAGCACCATCGGTCCTGACTAGCATCGTAGCGTGCATGCTGCGATGCAGAAATGAAGCATCCACCCTGCAGGGCTGACAGCCGAGCGCGGTCTAACGCCCCCAATGAAGCCGCAAATGCCCCATGTATCCAAGGGTCTAGATCCCCGAGATCCGAAGCCGTCTTCCGAAGGCGAAATTGTGTAGCAACCAACTTGGCCCAAGCATCCCACAGAAGGAACTCCATAAGTGGCCAGGGCGTATGCAGAAGGTGCCAAAGCCGACCACGATGATCCCTGAAGCACTGTGCAGTCTCAAAGCTCCAACCCAAGTGGGAAAACAAATCGACCAATTTGGAATAAGGCCCTGAATGAAGCGATCCGTCATAGTGATCCCAGAACAATTGCCACTGCGCAGCAAAATCCACGGAGCCAAGACACATCCTACGAAAGCCCTGGAGCACTGTTTTGTGATGCCAGAGAAGAGGATCAGCTCCGGGTAGCGAACAAAGAAGAAAGCGCATGGCCGGCGAGGAACCAGCCAGCTTCCAACCAAGTGCTGCAGCAGCTTTCCTCCGTAGTCCATCCAGATGCGAAAGCGCAAAACGACAGGCCAAAGCCCCATGTAACCCTTCCGGCCAGAAGGAAACCATCAAGGCCACCAACTTCTGGTGAAGCGAGGCCGTAGAGCGTGCGAGCGACATCCACTTGCTGCGCAGCTTGGACATGCGGGCATGGAAGTCCACCACTCGAGGCTTTGAACCAAAAGAGAGAGAGCCTCCAAGTTCATTGCTGTGTTGTACACATTTCACGGGGAAAGCAGCTAAGGCCCGACGCGAGAGGATATCAACTCCCCAGCAGTAGGACTTATCCAAGTCAATCTCCATGTGCTATAGCGTGAAGAAGGCCTGCATGGTAGCAAAACCCAGTGCTAGGTGTCCAGCATCTCTGGCAGTGAGACCCAGGTTGTCCACGTAGGAGAAGATCCGCAAGCCAGGGCAAAGAACTTCAGCATAGCTGTGCCACATCAGGTCCAGTAGGCACATCCCAAGCACGGAGAGCGCGCAGCCCTCTGGAAAACCAACCGAGCTGGTAACAGCTTCACTAAGTGTTCCACGGATCATGAAGGAGCGCGAGAAGTCCTCCACAAAGTTGCGCCAAGGATGAACCACCCGTTCCGGGATGCCTAAGAAGGAAGCCAACCAAAATAAGGGCGCGCGAGGAATGCAGTTGAAGGCGCGAACCAAATCTGCACTGAGTCCACATAAGGTAGATCCGCCCTGGCAGCAAAGGTCGATCATCGCCATCCAAAGCGCCCAAACGTTCATGGCTTCTTGGCCTGGAATAAAGCCGACCTGCCCTTCAGGGATGACGGGAACCAGCTGAGAAAGAAGTTGCCGACTGCGCAAAGAGCTCCAGGTCCTGTAAAGGAGACTAAGCACGACCACCGGTCGAAATGCAGAGACTTCGTGGGCTCCATCAACTTTTGCCAAGGCCTGAACCACGCCAAAACAAGCTTGTTGCGGCCATGCCTCGCCTGTCTCGACCCTGTCAAGGATAGCCAGCAGCTCGGTTTCAAGAGGTTGTGGCATGTTGATGAGGTCCAAGTGCGAAATCCCGTCAACGCCCCGAGCAGCTGTTGGTTTGTAACGAGCCAGGGTACGGTGCCATTGGTCAGGAGCCAAAGGAGGGAGCTCCAAGTGCAAAGGACGCATATGTGCCCGTGCAAACGTGGTAATGCGCGCCCAATCGGAGTCAGAAATGTCTTTGTAAGCATTCCAACGAGGTTGCCAAAATTGGACAAAAGCATCATGCACCTCCTCGAGCTGGGTAAGGACTTGATGTTGATGAAGTTCATCTCCCGGCAGGAGCGACGGAAGATGGCTGACAATGCAGGTGTCCTGGTCTGCTTCCAAGACCGAAAGGGGAGTCCCATTCAAAGTCCAGGTAGAGCGACCGGTGAGATCGAGGGGTCGGTCCAGATGCAAAGAGCATGTGTCTTGCTCATAGCCGAGGATGGTGTAGTAGTGGTCGAACCACAGGAGATCAGGTTTGGCCTTTGGTGCACGCTTGAGCTCACCAAACAGGCCGGCCATAGTGGCATCGTGCTTCTGCTTCAAAAGTCGGCACCGCTGTCGAATGTGCCAAGACTCCAAGGCCTCAAAACGAGCTCGAAAGGTCTCGTAGATCTGCTCAAGCTGAGCCGATGAGGGAAGACCTTCAGGCAACTGCTCAGGAACATGCGGACGGCCATCCGAGTAGCCCATGCTCCAGAAAGTACGAAAACCACCATCAAAGCCCCGAGCATGGAGAATCGCACTCCAGAGTTCACATCGATGCAGCTGAGCTTCCCAATGCTGAGCCCCAGCACGCAGTGAATGCCTAAGGCTCTGAAGTCTCCGTAACTGTTTGAACCAAAGGCGGACAGCCCGTGTAGTAAGGTCACATCGGAGTTCAACTTCGCCAGCTCTACTAGCCCGACAGAACTTAGCTTGTTCCCGAGTCCGGGTGGGCGCAAGGCGCTGACAGCGTCCAACCTGGGTAGGAAGCAAACGATGTCCCGGCTGTGTAGGAATGTGCCCCACCAGGCTAGTTTCCAGTGCCCGGCCAACCTGAGAGTAGCACTCCGTCGTAGTTCCCTCCAACGTGGAGAACGTAGCAGAGCCTTGCCAAGCATCAAGTTGCACCTCCGTCCAAGGAATGAGTGCAGGAAGTGGCCATTGATAGACCTGACTCAAAGGGACATCCAAGGAAAGATCCGCAGCCACCGTACTGTGCTCCTGGAAAATGTCAAAGACGTGAACCTGACGGCAGAGGTGCTGCGCTTCGGGGCTCAACCAAAGGAAGTCCCTCTCCGTGGTGCCCTTACAGGTCGGCAAAACCTGATGGCCCCAGTGAAAGGCAGCAAATGTTTGGGCGGAGACCCAGCCATAATGCTTCCAAACCTCGAAGGCGTCCAGCTCACCGTCCGAGAAATTGAAATCTCCGCAAATAATCCGAGGTCCAAAGCCACCGATAACAAGGTGTTGCGTAGCAGTCTGCAGAAGCCGCTCCGTGAGCTCCTTGGCCTGGGGCCAGGTTGGCCCCCTACAAAAGCCGTAGCTGTTCAACACTTGCAGCCGAACATGACCAAGGTAGTGGATGGATGCCTGAAGGCGGCCAGATTCCAATTCTCCCGACCTCCAAGGCAACTTCAGTTCCTGAGACGGTAGATCGGACATAGTAAGCACACCAGCCCATGTGCCTGCCCAGCGGGAACCCGGGCGGCAAGCTACCGGAGGACCAGCCAAAACTCGAACGTGACGATGGAGAGAGGCAGCCTGGGCTTGTAGCGTGGTGCAGCAACGAGGCAACGTAACTGTGGAGAGCTGGGATTCCGAGATGCAGTGAATGCCAGCACCCAGCTCCACTAAGTGACATTCCTTGCCACGGAGACCTGAGGGATTGGACGTGGTAACGCGAAGAAGCCCGGGCCCAGGAACAGCAGCTTCACCAATGCGCACAAAGTGCCCTGATGCTCCATAGGTGCAGCTCCCAACCACCAGAAGTCGAAGCACAATGGTACGCAAGAAAGAAGGGAAACAAAGAGTGTCAGCCTTTGAACGGTCTCTGTCATAGACAAGGCCAGCAGATAGGGATTGAAGGCGTAGAAAGCCTTGGTAGTGCCACAGCTGAAGAAGGCCACGGCGAAGGAAGGGACCAGCAAGAAGCCAGAGGGCAAGACAATGCAGAGCCAACCCCAGCAAAATCCATCGGCCCATGAAATAGATTGTGATGAAGTCCAAATAGAATCCATCAGGTCCAGTGAGAACGGTAATTGATGAGCTCTCTCCACACCCCAGAGAGAGCGTATGACTCAAGGACCAAAGCAAGATGACCCCCAGCACAGGGGCAGCCAGCCCCTGCCTGGGCTGTGATAGTCACTCAGTGCGAGACCTTTTGCTGAGCATGGCCTCCAATTGCGAAAAGCGGCTGTCAAAGGCCGAGGTGATTGAGTGGTCAATGGTGGCCGATAGCTTGTCAGTGGAGCTCTGCAATGTGGCCACCTGCTTGCCCATCTGATCCATGCCAGTGTGTACCTCATTGAACCAGCTGCGAAACTGATCTCCCTGTGCCTTCAATTCTCCCAAACCGGCTTCCAAGACCCGAAAGCGCTGATCAGCAGTCTGTTGATAGGCATGTAGGTCGATATCAGAGGACATCGCTGCATCAGAAGCATGGTCTTCGAGCTGTGTGCGTACTGCATCTTGGACCGTAGCCTGAAGGCGTGACTCTAGCTCCTGGATCTGCTTCTTACTGGTAGCACCCTGTGCCACCGCGCTGGCTGTAGGAGCAGCCCATTTGGCCCAAGGATCGGAGCCCTGCTTGGTCCAGGGATCCTCGCTGAAAGAACGATCAGTTTTGACTGCCTTGATTGTGGACAACTTGCGAGGGTCACACGAAGAGATCACCGAAGGCATGTCCGTAGTAGTGGTAGAGCGGTCTCGAACTTCGCTAATCAGAATGTCCGTACCGAAACCAGGCATGATCGGCTTAGGTGGGCTGGAAGATGCGCCAACCTCCCAAGCAGCACCAGCAGCAGAGCCACGAACTGGTTGCATGGGTTTTGCGGCCCAATTCCACTCCTTGAAGAGCTTCAGCAGAACATGCCTCTGGACCCCATGCGGAACAGGGTGAAGACGAAAGACCTTGGTGACAGTGACGTCAACAAAGGGCATGTCAGGACGGAGGGCCTTGTAGCCTGCTGCTGCATCTTTCGCCGCAACTCGGACTCCATAGCGATCCTTGACGCGAATCAAAGCCAAAGCCCCTTCAAAGGACTTCAACGCCCGTATGGCGGTTGGCTTGTCAGCCTTCGGCAACCAGACAACTGAGTAGGCCGGGTCAGTGCCGGTGAGATCAGGCTTGCGGGGCTCCATGTAGATCCCATCCACATTAATCTGCAGAACTTGAGAGCTGGCTGACCGTGCAACCCGGAGGTAGAACTGAAAGATGTCGGAAAGCTCAGGATCTACTACCTTGCCGGTGATGGAGAGGAACTTGCGAGCCCACACCTCCTGAATGACACTGTCCAACTCCTCTTCAACCGGTGAGTGGAACCGAATGCAATCAGGTCCGCAGCCCGAGCCTTTGCATAGCTGCAGGATGGGAAGCATCTGAACGATGCACCGAATAGGCTGATTGACCAGGTCCGTCCAATTATGCACCAGTTCGTCCTTGTAGACGACGACCTTGAAGACGGAAGTCTGGACCACTTCCAACCGGGTACTGGGCTTTCCGTGATGGCGATGGATGTCGACATCGCCAAGGCTGATCAAGGTGCCCTGAACCAACATAGGCTCCAAAGATGGACCATACACGGCTGGAAATCTCATAGAAAGGATGCGAGCGGCACAGCAAGCCGTAGACGGAAGAGGAGGCACCACGAGAAGGCCCAGAGCATCCGTGCTCATGCTGTTGACCATGTCCACAAAAGGCCGGGCTTCTTGAGGTGAGCAGAGAGCAATGCCCCGGCTATTGACCTGCACATCTTTGAAAGGGATGTGAGAGATAGGTTCCCCATCAGCATCATGGAAGTGGTCCGCATCCAAAGCAAGGAGGTGGATGTCAATGGAGTCAACTGTAAGCCGGGGAGCTGAGGCTTTGGCCTTCTTGTTCTTGTAATTCGGAATGTGTGCGCCATGTTTGCTCTTGGCCCGGGCAGTGATTTGTGCCTCCAATTCCTCCCTGGTGACAAGGCGGATCTGTGAGCCGGGCTGGGAAGCTTTCTCCTTGAGGGTCGCCCAAGGATTCTTGCTGCTCAAAGCAGCTTGGACTGCCGGTGTCCCCAGCTTTGCAATGACCACCCTAGCTCGCTCAAGGCCTTCATGAGGAAAGACTCCATGTCCCACCAAGAGATCCGCAAGAGCCTTCGAAGTGGTAGTGTCCTGTGGTCCTCGTGCAACCAGATCATTGGAGGACGAATGCATAAGAAGCCAAAAGTGCAGCTCCTGGATGTGGAGCCCATCAAGGAGCCCAGGAAGTCCAAGAGCAGAAGCCATATGCAGAAGGGCTAAAGTGCCACAAGAGAAATCATCCGCCTGGTGATAGAGAGTGCAGTGCTCAAAGGAACCGAGGATGCCGCCCAAGTATGCCGAGAGGGTAGCAGCCAAATCCAAAGCCACTGAACGAAGTCCATCGGAGAGCGGATCAAAGTAAGTCCAATGAAGTCCAGACCCTGCTCGGCGGCCCCAAATCAAGGCCCAGTGACCATGTGCAGCAAAGATGCCAAAGCACTCTTGAATGGTACTCCTGCGGAAGATGGATAGAAGACCCGAAAGCTCAGCGAGCTCACCAGCAGCCAGGCGGGTGGCAACAGCGACAGGGATGAGCCAAATAGGCTTTTGTTCCAGCTTTGGGAGACCAGAAAGAAGACTGGCCATACCATGATCAATGGCAGATGCACCAAGTCCAGGCGCCGTGGAAGAAAGTCCAGGGCCCATGGCAGAGCCTGCCGAGGGAGGCCGTTCTTGGCGTGAAAACGATGCCGGCAAGGTGGAAGTTGTCCGCAAAGTAGGGAAGGTATCCTGAGAGAGGATCTTAAGCCGGAGGGACTGCCAGATGCGAGCATCTCGTGGAAAGAGACGGCCCACCGAGTCAACACATAGCAAAGCACCTTCAAAGCAGGTGCGGTCCAGAGCCTCAAAGAGGAACTGTCCAGCATGAAGAAACTCAATGCAATGGGCATGGTCATCGTGTAAAGCCAAGACCAACACTTCAGCAGGATGAACTTTGGCATAAGGCCCATCAGTCTTGACATGGTAGCTCCTGCCAGGAGGAAGTGGTATGAGTCGTTCTATTCGAGAGAGCGTCCGCCGACCATCTGTAATGATGCAATCCATGTCAGGGTGCAGTTGGAGCCGTTCCGCCTTGATAAGGTCAGCAACCAGGATGTTCCCAGGAGCCAGGAGCGAAACCTGCGTGCCATCCTCTGCCGCCAAAGTAATACTGGCCAACGGAACCTGAATGTCATGGCATTGATGAAATTGGCGCAGCAATTCGAGCTTGAACTGCTCCAGAACGATCTTGGGAGACAGAGCAAAGAAGTCTGGTAGGAACTTGTGCACCGAAGCTAGGAGCTGCGAATAGACCCAAAGAGCTTGGAGAGGTGAGGCGACATTGCCCAGGAGCGGGAGCGAATCCCGAGGACCATGCATGAAGCGCATCGAACCAGGCAGGCCCACGAAGAGCGCAGCCTCGGCAGGGTGTAGGAGCCTTGGCTGACCAGACAAAGAAGATGTGACACAGAATCCTCGAACTCCACGATCTTGAAGTGCCGTCTCAGACATGGCCGTGCCCCTACATCCACAGGGGCAGGCAACAAACCAAGCCCCATAGGAATGGAGGAGGGTCGGCAAGGTATGTTGAGGTCCAAACCAACGTTGGTCATCTCCATATAAGGCATCACCAAAGACCTGAAGTTCACGCTCGGTCAAAAGGAGGTCCTGCTCCTCACCCACTGCCCAAACTGGCCAAGAACGCAACAGGGACCCAATCGTAGGACAGGTGGAGTCAACCGGCCAGGGGTGATATGGCCCTGCCATCCAAGCTGAAGGTGCACAAAGACACCACCAACGAAGCCGTTTCATTGGCCATTTCTAACTCATACTGGATCTGTTCCCATTGGCGTGCCTCATTCAGTAGCTGAAAGGCCTTCAACACAGTGGCATTCTGACCGGCCGCTGGCACACATTCGGCAATCAAAGCCTGAATGGGGAGGAACCAAGCTGCACGAAGAGCATGAAGGAGAGTGAGAAAGCGAGCATCGTTCTCGGCCAATTGAAGTCCTTGGGAACTGAATGGCTGGCATGGAAAGCCAAGCATGGCCGTAGCAGACCTGTCCCCAAGGTGCACGTGTGCCTCATAGATGGTCTGGATGCTGCCCAAAGAGGCCTCCAACACAATCCCATGCGAGTTGCCCCTCAAATGGTCCGCGACATAGGGGGAATCGTCGATGCTGATGGCCACTTCCGCGCCAGCAAATGAGGCAGCAAGCCCCATCGCCCCCGATCCAGCACATAGTTCAACTATCAAAGAAGAAAACGACTGAACCGCCAAGGCGCGAGGGAGAGCCGCACCGTGCGACTCAGGTCGCAAACACAAAGGTTCCAGGCATGTCACCTTCCAATGATAGAGCGACCAATGATCACAGGCCTCAGGAAATTCGCAACCAAGCAACAGGGCCTCCGTGCCCCAAGGCAGCAGGAGCCCCAGCCGCATGTCCTCATCATCTTCCATGCAGCCCAGGAGCCGCACAACCCCACACCAAACCTCCCCTTCGGCCGTGGGGGGCGACCCAAACATGATGGTCTCCATGGGTGAACCGAACCCGGCGATCCGCTGACTAAGCCCAACCACTGTAAGGTGCTCGGGCCCAAGGCTAGAAGGATTTATATAGAAATGATTCATATAGGATTTTCATCGTTTAAGGATGTACCGATATACCCCCAAAAGCACTGTGTTGCACCCAACACATCCACTCCATTGCTCACGGCGCGATGCTCTCGGCGCGATGGCCATGCGTCGCCCGCCAGGACAGTGGCCTCTTTAGACCGCCCAGCAGCCTGGGGCTCAGCGGCTCGGAGTCGGGGCTCGGATGCGAGCTCAGGAGGGGAGGTGGTGAAGTTGAAGAGTCCATGCGTTTCATGTGCGGATCAAGGCAGACTTGTGCGTTTCATGGCCTTTCTTTATCTTTGGAATTCAACGGACAAGCTCGTTGACGGACTGTGGAGTGTGAGACCAGCGCGCCACAGGCCTCCTAGCGCATCCTAGCACCCTGCGAAAGGTCCAAAGATCATCCCCTAACCATGGACGAAGTCTTTCGCTGCCGAGAACCCTAACGTGCGCCTGGTGGCGGTGAACACCCACCCCATCTGAACACCGACCCAGTGTTCGACACCGACACCGCGGAGTTCCACTTTCCGGAGGCCCAGCGGAGTTCCACATCGACTCCATCTATGTGGTGCCAGGTGTGAAGTTCCGATTTTTCCTAATTTCTATTATTAAACATAGCCAGATGGTTCCTATTTTTTTAGAAATAGAAATAGCACCATGTGCATCTATGTGCGGTTTTGGATCGGAAAACCATCGTTGGAGGGGCGGTTTTGATCGCTCGAGATGGACCTTTTCGAAGGGGCAACAGGGCGAGTCCGATGGCCTGTTCAGAGAACGCCGTCCGACGATGTATGGTTCCATGCGTTGGAAGATGGTGTCTCCTGAGGAAAAGTAGTTCATGAAGTGGTCCAGTGGTGGTCATTTCCAAGTTTGTGAAGCTGCTGAGATGGTCATGTGTAAATGTGGGGTGCACAGGTGGTGCATGGTGATAAAACTGAGAAAGCTCCAAGGTGGCCAGTTTCGGGGAAGTGAAGTGACCCTGAGAGTCAGATGCCTGACTCATCCCAACCCTTTCACCTCTTCAAGTCGGCACCCCCAAGTGCTCGAAAACCACTTCTGTAGTGAGATAGCATGAAAACCACCATGAAAACCACCAAACCGCGGAGGGAGAACCATTGGAGTCGGTGACGCCCAGAAGAAAAGGACCCCTCTTGGTGCCGCGCGGCGGGGTCGTCAGCACGGTCAGCGGTGGCCAGGTGTTGGACTCGTTGTGGGTGGAGTGGTCCGTGGGGGAGCCCAGCGACTTCGGACACGCGAGCTGAACTGGACCTTTTCCCGAGTCCGTGCCGAGCCGCTGGTGCCTGGCCTTTTTCGATGTGTGATTTTCAGTTTGAACTATCACTTAAAACCCCGTTGTTTGGTGGATCTGTAGCAGCTGGGATCGGATGTTTGGTCAGGACCAGGATCGGATTGGCAGGCGAAACTGATGGCTCGTGTTATTTTTACATGTTAGTTCTATTTCTTCCTGCACATGGTGCCGGGTGCACGACATCAAAAAGCGATGCGTGACGGGGAGTTTTTCGAACATAAGGAACTGGGACACGGCTCTAACTCGTGCTGGTCAACTCAACGTAGTTTCGTGATGACGCAGCCATGGAAGAGCATAGACAAAGCATGCATCGCGGAAGAAACACACGGAATTCGACCTGCTTGGATTCCAAAACGCTTTCCAAAGGGATGAGCCTGAAAAGACTCGCGAGGAGCATTTGCAGCAGAATCTTGGATTGTGACAGAATCATATCAACCAACCCAGATATTGACTGTTAGAGATGTTCACACATTCATCTGGTCTGCGTATTCGCCTGATAGTCAACCGCTGAAGCTGGCGGATGATGGCTGGCAGGGCGTCATGCTGACGATCCACAAGAACCGCGTGGTGTCAGATGTGACTCTCCAACAAGCCTCGGTACGACAAAAGGACGGCTGTCGACTCGGTCTCCCGAAGTCGCTACCTTCCGGGCCTGGGGGTCGCGTGGTGTGCATAGTGGATGAACTTTCCAATTTCAGTCAAGAACCCAGACTCGAACCACAGCTTCTTGTTACTAGTAAAGTCTTTCTACTAGTAGTAATGCCCTTGTTACCAGTAGCGATGCCCTTGTTACTAGTAGCTTCTTGTTCCTAGTAGTAATGCCAGGACCTCTTCAACATACTATCACACTTCAATGATGGGTCCAATATTGACAAAAAAAGACCACTGAAGTCAACTCACAGAACTGCCTCTCTCCAAAGACCCCCCTTCACAGATTTCCGGAACCGCGGATGTGTTCTTTTTTCCCCACCTGTCAGGGTTGTTAGATTTTATGTCAGCCCCATCTCCTCCTCCTCGTCCTCCTCCGCCGGACCTCAACGCCCAGTGTTCCCTGCCGGACCTCAACCACGACCATCCACGCCCAGTGTTCTCTGCCGGACCTCAACCACGACCATCCGCGCCCAGTGTTCCCTGCCGGACCTCAACCACAGCACACAACCACAAACACATAACCTCAAACGCACAAGCACAAACACAACCAGAAATACACAATCACAAACACACAACCACAAACACAACCAGAAACACACAATCACAAACACACAACTACAAGCACACAACTACAACCACAACCACAAACACCAACCACAAACACCAATCACAAAGACACAATCACAGAGACACAGCCACAACCACAACCACAACTACAACCACACTCACAAACACACAACCACAAACACAATCAAAAACACACAGCCACAACCACAATCACAAAACACACAGCCACAAACACAACCACAAACACGCAACCACAAACACGCAACCACAACCACAACCACAAACACAACCACAAACACACAACCACAAACACACAACCACAAACACACAACCCGAGGACCCACAAGCAAAATCGAGAACTACAATACTCACGACCATGGCAACATGCTTCTCACTATGGCATCAAGACAAATGATTGAAATGTCATGGTGGGGATCACTCGAAGTAAAGTACTTTTAGACGTCGTTCAAAAAACACTTTCCACGCTTTCCAGCTCCATTTCTCCGGATTTGGTGAGGAGTTGGATTTCTATACCAACAACTACTGGATTTGGGGTGGCACCACTGTGATCCTGGCGGGCTTTGCCCTGGCACAACTCACCAGAGAGATCCCCGAGGGCACGCATCCTGTGCTAGAGTCGCTGAGCCGTGGAGCGGGGAGAGCGTGGAGCGGGGCGTAGTAAGGGACGGCTTCACGGGGTGAAACTACCGGTGGACGTGGATGGCGTTTGAGTAATTGGACTATTTAGGCCCAAACAGACGGAAAGAGGTGAACGACAAAACATTGCATGTGAGTTGGAGGCCATCGCTAGTAGGTTGGAGGCCATCGGTTGGAGGCCATCGCTCTTAGGTTGGAGGCCATCGCGAGAGCATGAGGTCAGGTGATCTTGCGTATGAGATCCCTTCTTCGTGATCGGCTGGATAGGTTGGTCCCTTCTTCGCGGGATCGTGTCCGCGAGAAAGGACACCACCAGCACGGTGTCCAATTGCTCACCTCCCGACCAATCGAAGAGTTTTTCAGTCCCCGCATTGGGCTCTGTGTGGTCGCAGAGCTGAGCTTTGCATAGTCAATTGGTCTGCTCATTATGCTGCTGTCTTCAACAGTTTGTCTCTGATCTGATGGATGTGATATGCAACCGTGACGGTAACTTAGACTGGTCTAGGCCTAGGCTACTCATTCTTTGGATCTTTGTGCTTTGCTTCTAGGTATAGCTATTTGGCCTTCACTACACTCTGCTTGAGTCTGGATCTCTGCATCGTCACCTGGACGGTGCTGGTTTGCACCTGGGGCCCTGGAAATGCGTTGCGTGGGCCGGACGGTATGAGCTCCTTCCATGACACGGTGACCCTCTTGAAGGACAACCAACCAGGGCGCTCAGGGTCAGGGCCACTACTCTCCAGTTGCGTTGTTTCGGCCGGCACAGTGGCAGATTTGAAGGCCAACAAGGCGTACATCTATCATCATCTATCCAGATGGCATATTTTTTTTGATGTAAAACAAGGTACTCTGAAACTCTGCAGGCACTTTTGACATCTAAAGTCACGACATTCATCTATCCAGGTGGTGTCTCCGGTGGTGTCGCCTGTCATCACGCCGCGTCGCGCTCTCCGCTTCAAGGGGTTTACCCGGGGAAACCCCTTTGCCTCTACGATTTGTCTATTTCCAGGCTTTTGTGGGTAAACCCTTGTTACAGTAGTCCGAATAGCAAGGTTGACCCCCCTCGCTGGCGGTCACGCTGCAGCGCGCCCACCGGCAACGCTGCAGCGTTTGAAGCGTTACCCGGCGTTACCGCCCAAAACCTGCTTGGAGGCACCTTTTCGGACTTTTCGCTTCAGAAACATGTTGTGCACGAAGCAAACATGAAGGCTTTTTGCCATCGATCTGAAAGATGCGACTTCGGCTTTTCGCAGACGCCGCCATACTTCGATGCTCCGGGGTTTATGCCAACCATCAAACCCATGAGATCCGAACTTCAACGAAGCTGGGGAGAGCAGCGCTGGTGGAAGCGTTCCCATCGAAGTCGGCCAAGCTGGTGGGGTACGCCACAAATTTGGGCTACGCTTGGGGCCAGAGAGGTGTCTTACCAAACAAAGATCATGCTAGAGAAACGAAAGCAGTATGAGCATACAGATGAGCATCCTTGGATTTTTGAGTATTCTGCTTTGCATTTTGTTTCTGGCACAAGTATCCCGAAGCACGAAGGGCATGATCTGCCACCGTGCAGCCGTGCAGGATGAGCAAATGTCGATCTACTATGCCTTTGTCGTGAGCATCGTGGCTTACTTCGGCTCCTCCTGCTGTCTGTTGTGGGTTTACCCCTCAGGGTATGTAGCCAGGCAGCAAGATTGGATGGGAATCCCTTCAAATCTTGTCAATGTGAAGACGAAGATGTAGTATCTCTGACTCAGCGAAATGTATTCAAACATGTTCAAGACTACTGACAGAGATGCGTATTGGACAACCAACACCACCTTCACCAATAGGGGATCGCCACCATTTGCTTGTTGATCTATATTTCTCGAGCATGGACACGACCTCATCAAATACCTTGCACTCGGCCTCGGTGCCAACACAGCGTGGAAACCGAAGCATGGGCGGCTTCAAACCGAAGGCGTTTCCCGTTGCGCGGGAGCCGCGGCTCGGAGGACCGAGAGTGTCTGGTGAAAGGAGCCCCGTTCGTAGCTACTTGCTCCTAGTAGTACGGCCAGGAGCCCCTAGTAGCGAACCTTGTTACTACTAGTAAGGCACTTGTTACTAGAAGCGATGCACTTGTTACTAGTAGCTTCTTGTTCCTAGTAGCTACTTAACTTAAATGTTATTTTAAACAGCAATCTTCTTTTGAGGTCCTTATAGGAATGGCCTCCGACCTAAGAGCGATGGCCTCCATCCTACATGCACATTTTGGGGGTCCTGAAGGAAAGAACACATGAACGGAAAGGTGATGTGCTCTTTCACCTTGGTTTTGAACACGTTTTGGCTACGCCAGAACTCAGATGTCTGGGCCGTGCTTCAGAGGTCCTGAAAGACGTCTCGTCAGGTGTTCGCCACAGTTCGCCACATGAGAGACGCTGTTGCAGTGTCGACAGTGCCCCACCGTCGACATGAACGGCCAGAGGTGACCAACACTGTGGGCACGGCCGTGCTGTTGCTGTCGCTCATGATCCTGTTGCGCTTCCTGCTGCGCTTGGAACAACAGGTGGGGAGGAAACGTGAGAGACTTAGAAAGCCCAGACTTGGCTAGAGTGTTTGTTTGAGATTTTCGCTTACCCGACACTGGCAACGGATTAGAGAAAGTGGTAGTTAGAGCACAGTTTGTGTTGTTGTTTGCTGGGATAAGATACCAATGCCCCGACCTGGGGCACAGATGCAGGTCTTAGATCCAGATGTAGACCGTGCTCTTTCCAGGTTTTTGCTTTTTCTAGTTAGACTTTGAGCACTTAGATCCAGAGGTCTTAGCAGCAGTTAGGCCGAACATCCAGACCCAAAGGTCTCCGGTTTGAGCAGACATGTCGAAACCCGCCCAGGTGGGCACGGTGGGCAATTCCCACGACGACGATGGGCGCATCCAAAATCTCCGGCCCTTTGAGCACGTGGGGGATCTGGATGAGTGACTTGGATAAGTGACATGGGAGGGATCAACAGACTTGTGGACGCACGAACAGGTTTGTACTGGGTGGAGCTTTGCTGTTCGAAGTACGTCTTTCTGGGTGGTTTTTGCTGTGACACATGACACACGTACTGACGGAGTTACACCGACCTCAAATGGTGACCAAGAAAGTGGGGAAGCTCACATTGAGCATCTGAAGAAGCACCCCCAAAACCGGATCCGCTAAGACACCAGCAGCTGAAGGCCACCTGGGGCACCTTGCCCCTTGCAAAACGCTGGGATAGACGGAGGCTAGCGGACATGTTAGATGTCATGAACTCCAACATCAATTTGCCATGGATTTCAATGCTTCTCCGAAGCAAGGGTCACTAAGAAGCAGCTCATTGATGTTGAGCACCAGCCCATGCTTCCTCGGTTTTGAGACATCTCCAGTAGGAGGGACAGAACTCTATTTGAAAATCATTTTGCTGCAAGTTGAGGCGTGCGGCAGCCGAATAAGCTGCATATAGAAATAGGTCCCAAAGATGGACTTGTGCGCAGCTGTGGCATGTTCACCTGAAGGGCAGCAAGATGTTTCAAACCCTGTCCTCTCCTTTGCCTTTTGAAGCCGAGGAAACATAAAAGGACCGGGGTTCGGCTGGGTGGCCTGTACGCGGCGTGTCTCTGAAGAATTGAGATGCATCCGTCAGAACGATTCAACATCCACGATGCACCCGTCATTTCCGGAGCGGGCCTCGCCCTTGGACCGAGAGAGGCGACCGAGAGGTCCAAGAGGCGAATTTGGAGCGCGAAAACAGTGGCAGCTGGTGGAGGAAAACAGTGGTAGCTGCGTGTTGGAGTCATGCAGAAGCACTTACTGTACTTATACAAACCCAGAAGACGCAGAAACACAGCGAGAGAACTAATTGTGCGTTTTCTCTGGGAAGATATGGGGATCTTGAAGGTCCAAGTATTCCGTTTTGTCCCATATTCTTGAACTAACACAGAACCAAGGCCTTTTCTTAGCACTCAACTGAAGCGATCAACTTACAGTATATAGTATATACACAAATGTTTGTCAGGGATTTAGGGATCAATCGATCAGGCGCGGATCATCGGGCATGGCTAGCATCTTGCACGTGATTTGCCCCTGCAAATGCTTCGAGTATCAGAAAAGTCAATCCTTCTAGCCAAAATTTTCTAAAGACTATGTCTGCATATGTCTGCCTCTTGTTTGCCCCTTTGATGCCAAGTATCTGCTGGTCCCAGCAAAACCTGGTGTGGGTCGAATCTGCAAGAAGAAAACACGCGTCCAAACCGCCTTGTTCGGTTTTCCGCTTCACCGAATCCCCTGAGCTCGTTTTCTTCCCGAAAAACGTGACACGCGGTGAGACACTGCGAAACCGCCCGAGGTGCAGGTCGAATCCGCGTGGGTCAACAGTTGCTCTTGGGCCCAGACAAGGTGAGCCAGCCGGAGGCCTCGGTTGGCATTCGGAAAGATGCCTATAGATGGCAAAGATGGCTCCAGCATTGGTTGATGAAATAGAGGGGATACTCCAGTCCTCATAAAGAACCAAGAGGTCAATGAATCCCTGGATGATTCCGGACATCAATTGCTGCATGGTTTGCTTGGTGGAAGCTGTTGGAACTCGGAGTGAACACGTCAGAGCCCAGGAGCTGGATGTAAACCCAGACTCTTCAGTCCTGCTAGGTAGGGCACGCGGCCACCTGGACTGGAGGTTGACTTTGCTGATCATTTGTTGATCTCAGGATACTATATATATATATATGTGTATGTGTATGTATATGTATATGTACATGCATAGTTATATGTACATGTTAATAATCAGTGACAACTGCTATGGCCCGAGGACCGATCTTGTTGATCCAATTCAGCTCAAAGGCTCCTCTAGCGCTCGGTGATGTGTCCCGCTCCCAGTGCGGAGTGTTCGGCTCGTGGCTCAAGGTTCAAGCCGGTGCTGGTCTGGAGCCCAGCCGCTTCCGCCGTGGGGCCCGTGGGGCATCATATCATGTCCTGAAAAACCTGTAGCAGTCGGTAAACAAGAACCTCAAGCATCATCCACTGTTACTGGTAATGGGATGTACAAAGGATTTATGCATGGTGAAGGAACCATGTAGTGAGGTGGATTGATGATATTACAAGAGGTATTCATTTTTGTGTGCCCCCGGAAAAGAAGTCCTAGGATCTCCCCGACTCAGAAGGGTTTGCATAAGGAGGTCTAAGTTTGTGAACACCCTCATTGCTAGACGTGTCAACGGTTCTGTTCTGGGCGTCAACTCTCCGTCGCCGGCGCCCTTGAGATTTGCCGAGGGGTTTTGCCCGGTACGTACACTAACATAGACAAATCTATATAGTGGCCAAACAGGCAGTACTGCAGGTTTCAGTCAGGTCACGTCTGTAGGAATTCAATGGAAGAGGGGGACCAGCCACTCATCTATATCGGTCTAGGGCACAATGACATATAGGCCTAACTTCTCATCTCAATTTCAGTTTCCAAGATTTGTAAGGAACAAATGCATGAAACAACCAACCATTCATCCAGTGAATTGGGGGAACACGGAAGGACTAGCACATGCTGATTTGGACTCTTTCCTCCCACGATGTGGGATGAGAATGGACTCTTCCACCTTCGTGAAGGCGTGGAAGATCAATCCCCCAACCCAGCCGAAGACTTCCAGCTTCGTCTTCACTTCTTGTGTCGTTGTGTTCGCTCTGTTGGCCTCTCCATCCGTCGGACCGCACCGGTCGTCCCGATCCGATCCCAGGTGAAGACCATCCAGTACAAACGGGTCACGGTGGACTTTGCGGAGAGCGGGCAGCGCGGAGCCCCCGTTCGCGAAGGGCGGGCGGAGACACCACTGGCCCGGGAGGCAGTGGTCTGGCTCCAAAAATACAGCAAGTCATAGAATTAGTTCCTTTTTGTTCTTGAAACTCAGGGGTTGGAAGGTGTTGAAGGCCGGGCCATCTTGATTGGGTGGTAGCTTTGGTCTCTGGCCAATGCATCCTGGTCGCCTGGCGCCAAGCCAACCCCGATTTCTTCGGTGCTCGTGAAAGTCTTGGGGCCCTACCAGCGCTCGCGATGGCGCTGATAGAGCGAAGGTCCCTGCAATCCTTCGAGATGCCACGGTCAAACCGATTGAAAAACCATGGATGAAGCCATTGATGAAGCGCAAGCCTGATCCGAAAGCTGTCGGACGAAAGCTGAGTTTCGAAGAAAACACCATCTCCCAAGGCACTGTAGCTTTGCGCTCCGCTCCCTGGTGAAGAGGGACCGAAGGGTTGGGAAGTGGGGGTTCTCGCAGGGCGATGCGGTGGCAATTGCTTGGGCTTCGACTCCTTCAAATCTATGACCTTCGCCCCGAATTTAAGGAAGAACAACCCGCTAGTTTGAATTCCGCAGCCTCTCGGCTCAGCGGATGGTGCATGAGTTCGAGAGCTGCACCTGCGCGTTGTGCTTGACTGTGCGGCGCGTGGTGCATCTCCTCTACGACCCCGAGTGCACCGGAGCCGTACAGAGGAGAGGGCTTACACTTTTGAGGGAGGTTCATTCACAGCTGCTGGACGCTGTGGAGACAGGAGCTGCCACTCCTGGTCCTCCCGTGGGCAGTTCGCCTGCTCTCCCGGCTGGGGGAGGGGATCCAGCTCAACCTCGCGTGAAGACCGAGCCGGTCAGCTCCCAGAACAAGGCCCAGGCAGAGGAAGGGTTTGCACCCGTAGTTGAGGCTCCCGAACAGGAGGGGAGCGGAACAGAGGCTGGCAAGAAAGAGGAGGACCAGTCGGAGCGTGCATCCCGTGAGGCTGACTTGAAGGACACCGAGGTGGACAAGGAGATCGCAAAAGATAGAACTTCAACTCCGAACCCTGAGAAAAAGGACAAAGGCAGTCGCCAGAAGGAATCAAAGTCGAGAGACCGTCGCCGCCGAGACCGAAGAGAGAAGAGGGCAAGATCTTCAGAGGGAGCAGGCCGTCGCTCCCGTAGCCGTCGTCGTCGAGATCGAGGAAAATCGAGCAAGCCCGAGAGCCCTAAGCACGACGAAGGCAAAGAGCCCTCGCCCCCAAAGGAGTCCGGAAAAGAGTGGACGAGCCCAAGGCCAAAGTCCCGGACCCCCAGTCGGAGTCTCGTCCGCCGATCTCCCCGACATCCGGTGCCATCCAGTGCCTCAGGCCTTACCAACGCTCAGAAGAGAGCAGTGCCACCCCCACCAAAACCACCGCCAGTTCGACCGTCTCCACGTGAGCCAGACCATCCACCCCCGGGCTACTCGAGCTGGGCAGCCACCGACGCTCGAGCCAAGTCCAAAGGTTTAAAGGCCACTACCGAGATCCCTACAGAGATCCTCCACCCAACAAGGGGAAGAAGAAGGACGAGCGGAACGCCAATTTCCGCGCCTGGCGAGAGTTCGAGCGGGGATACTGGTAGAGGACATGCCGCCACGGAGGAGGCCTGCAGTGGAGCCCGGGAGGATTCGAAGAGGAGTGTTGAGACGCCCTGCACGGGGGGAGGCGGAGGAGCCTCCCGGTCGAGAGGAGCCGGTCTGGGAAGCCCTGAACAGGATCGCTTTGGACACCCTTCACAAAAGGCAGAAGGTCGTCATCGAAGGCATGTTTTGGGAAGCCCCGGTCATGATCGCAGGCGAGGTTCGTGGGGTGGTTGTGAACGAGGGCGACACCACATGGAGGATTTGGGTCACAGGAACCCAGCAAGAGTCCCTGTTGAAAGAGCTCGGAGGCCAATGTCAGGAGATGCGGGTGCACATCTGCTCAGACCCATGCGATCGTCTAGTGTGGGCGAGGGATTTGATCCACGGCCACCGCTACCACGTTCCAGGAGGGGAGGCCGAGGGCTGGCACACCAACCTGGCCGAAGTCTCCCGAGAGAGAGCAGTTGGCGGAGGAGGAGACGACCCTCTTCATCGACTACGACAAGAGATGGGAGAAAGGACAAAAGGGGGAGAGGTGCAATACTCTCCCGAGCACGCAGGAGCTCCCGAAGGGAAAAGGGA